TGTCATCCATTATTCTCAAGGTTCGTTCAGTATATCACTTTTTAAAATTTATTTAATTTTTTTCTTTAATACTTGTACAAAGAGTATACAAATATTTGATCTATGCTTATTTAAAAAAAATAATAAATATTCAGTAAATCCACTAGATGGTTTAATTTTGAAAAACTCATTTAGGTGACTCAAAAATGTGGGAAATCATAAAACCTACCGATAATCTTATGTTTATACCACCGCTTGATTTTCTGGACATGTGTTCTCAAATTGAAGAACACAAACAGGGGTGGAGGGCAATGGAGGACTTGCCAAGCTAGTTGGTGACCAGATTACTTGTCATTATTTAGTTAATTAAAATAGCTAATATTTCAACAATCTGATGACTTACTAAGGTATAACCATCGACTATGGTATAACTCAGAGAGCTTTCTAAGCTAACTGATAACTTTTAAAGCTATCTGACGATTTACTAAGCTGGATGATGATTTTCTAATAAGTAGTTGAATCGCTGAGTTTACTTATGAATAGCAAACTACAAAGCTAATATCCATCACTAGCTAATCTATCTGAGCTTAACAAGCTGACTGATGACTCGTATTACAGACTTTGCAGAAGAACTCTCATACATCTCGAGGCCTCATCTCAGGTATGTCCTACATAGCAGGGTCGCCAGCATTGTACAGTCTCGGCTATGTACACGTGTGTCGCTTCTTAGAGGACCACTCCTACACTGGCTTCCATGGACTGACATTAGCGGAAGTTGAACAACTGTTTTCATCAGATAGGTAGTACTGTTATCAAAAGTTTTTAAAAACCCGTTACCATTTTTTTTTTCAAGCAAAGGTGCATTTTACTTTTACAGTATATATTTCTATTACAACAGATAATAAACCTACCCAAAAAACTATGATCAATGTCCGTCATTTTGGCTGGCACTCTGAAGAATACACTTTTTCAGACATAACAACACATCTTAGCTATGTTATTGTATCATGTCAACAGGCTCAACCTGACTTCTGACATGGTCCATCGTGCAGAGACCTCGTACGGAGGCTACAAGACCACCTGTGGTAACCTCACCATGTATAACCCATGGTCCTTGACTCATATGTTGGTATACAAGACGGTGCGAGACTATTGGGAAGGACCTGGAATCCCCATCAATTTAGTAAACCTTTTACGAGTCCCAGCCCTGAGAAATGAGATCACCTTACTCACTGAAGGCCGTGAAAGAAAGGTATATCAAAGTGTTTTTTAATAAGAGTATGCCGGTTGTAGGAGGAGGTTGGGACCTGTTAAACAGAAATTAATTATTTACTGTGTTATAGGGCAGTAAAGTGTCACTTCCTCTTTTTTGGTGCAAGAATGTCCTGTAATACACAATTCAATGCATAGTACCTACCTACATTGGTGAATAAAAATAAATAATTTCTTATGGGCGATATTATACAGATAAAATAAAATAAGCTTTGATTTGATTTAATTTGACTTGACTTCATTACAAAAATGCCACTCGCGTAGATACGAGCAAAAAAAAAAAAAAAATCATAAAAACATTTCTATATTTACTTATAATGGTCGCTGTCCTCATTAAATTTAAAATGTTATCAATGAATCTTTGAACAGCTGTCATTTTTTACTCGGTTGTCTGTTTGAGTTCGGGTTTATGGCATTGTACTTTTCTAACAAAAGTCTTTAATTTTATTTGCATATCAACCTATGTTTACATTTAAGATGTACTTCTGACTCCTAGCGGGCCCATCTCCCTTAGGAGCTAAGTATCACTGAATAGGTAATGTTTTTAAATTTTTAAATTATTGATTCTCAGTGACTTCACCAAGTTTTGTAGCTCTATCTTTATAGTTTTTTTTAGCGAATTTTCTCTATAGGGAAGTAGTTACATACCTGGTTTACATGGCAACACAACCTTGTTTGATAATCACACAAATAAATGAGTAAATACGCAAACAAGAAGCAAGATATTTATAAACATCATAAAAGTAAGAAGAAACCAAAAGGGGGAAAAATAATAATAAAATAACTATAATGGCGCTGCGTAGCGGTGACACGAGCGAGCGGCACTCGTAAGTCAGCCGCCGGGCCTGCAGCGGCCGTACGATTAACGCTCGTAAGACAATAACTCAAGAAAGTGATTTTTATAGGAAGCAAATTGGTAAAATTTTCAATATGCCACTTGTTTTTACTAGGAGTAGGGATGAGCTTAAATTTTCCCATTATATTGTTAAACCCTACTTTATAAATTGTGTAGTTTCAAAATATTTGGTGCCTGTATAAATAAATGAGCAAGAAATATAAAATGAAACGATTAAACCTCTTCGTGGGACACCCTGCGTATATATGTGTGTCCGTGAACATGATAACTCTAGAGTAATTTAGTTCTGATTTTAATTTAATGTAATTTGACTTGGAGGTGTAAGGCGAGATAAACTTGAATGAGTTCGTTAACCAGCATGATCGAACCATGGTAACGGGGTTTTATGGGGTATCCCAATTTCTCTTCACAAATAATTTATTTAGTATTGAAGTGTTTTGTACAATTATTGGTTACAGAGAAAATAAAAAAAAATCTCTTTTGTATGCTATTTATTAAATTTGAAATTTATCACAACAGTCACTATCAGGCTCAATCAAAAATCAAAATGATATTCTTGCTTGGACACTACTGTACTGCACTCCAGAAGTTCTGGAATTCTTGTATATTATGACTTATAATATCTTTTTAATTTGTTTCCTCACCAACAAAAACTTCATAAATTATGTGGTAGGTATCTAAAAATGTTTTTGTTTTTTTGTTATTAGGTCAAATTAAAAAAGATATATGCTCCAGACGATGTGATACGGCTGCGGGATTTGATCCATAAGCCTGAGTTGCATCGTGAGCTACATTACGCAGACACAGTGCTGAGCTTGCTGGTCGAGCTCGGCTATCTGTCGTATGTGCCTACAGGTCAGAGTTTTACTGGGCGTCACTTGGTGCGAGTGCCTAACAAGGAGATGAGACGCCAACTGCTAACTACCATCAATAAATACAAGAATTACTACAGTGCTGTTGATCTGGAAGATGAACCGGGCAAGAAACATTTCCGTTACCATACTTGAACTAGTAAACATGGGTTTCTCCTTTTATCTCCCACTTGTTTGACTAATTATTACATTGTTGATACAATAAATTAAGGTTATATGGGATGCTATGGTGATATTTTTACGCAAACAAGTTAGTGAATGATAATAAGTAGTGGAATGGAGTGATACCTTGTGTAGCTGGTATCACTCTGTAAAACACAGTCGTTTCAAATGCATCTAGTGGAATCAAAGAATTAACTCATCAAAAATGTATGTAATTGTTTTGTCGAATACGCAACACAAGATTTATTTAATAGCAATGCTCAGTGTATCATTTAAACTGTGACATTTTACAAACAACAATGCCAGCTAAACTTCAAACAGGATATTTATATCGGCACGTTCGTTAACACCAAAGTTGACAGCCAAAAGTTTTACAACTAAATGTTGCTCTTAAAAATTTTAGCAACTAGTGGATGATTTTATGTGGAAAACCAAAAGTTGATCCTTTCTAGTCTAGAGCAACTACTGGAAAACTTGTTGCCAAAGAATTGGCATGGTCAGTAGTGTCAAGGATTTTGCACGAAATCAAATAAAATCAAATCAAAATCATGTTTATTTCAGAAAGTAAAATAGGTACAGTATTACAATATTACTTTGTCAGTAAAAATTGTACAGTTATGCTATAGTTATGTAATAATAGGCCTACTGACATAATGATTGAATATGAAATGCCTCTCACATAGGAGGGCGTGCGTGAGAGATTTCCGTTATCACGAAATAAATATTTTAGAAACTGAAAAAAATTCAATATTTATGAAACATGACTTGACAGTTAGGCTAATAGGTAAATTTGGTTGAAATAAAAAAAATAAGAACTACAATAAAAAATATTTACAAAATTTTATATATTTTTTTATTTTTAGTCAATGATTAGTGCAATTTGGACAAAATCCAAGATCCAGACAAAATGAGGCTAACCTCCTTCCACACGCACACACACACACAACCACACGCAGGATTTTTTCATTATCAGCAAGTTTGGTTGGTTTGGTTCGGTTATGACAGTTTAATTTTATTAATAAGTCATTATACAATCTTAACTGAGCAGTTTCTAGTATTATTTAATAAACAGAATTATTTTTTATATTATTTCATTATCAGCAAGTTTGGTTATTTCGGTTAGGTTATGATAGTAATTTTATAATAAAAAAATAAAATTGAATTTGAGGCATTTATAATTTTGTTTTATGAACAGAACTATTTTTGCGATTAGTAAACCTTCATTGCCAAAATGCTCTCTACTACAGCGCTGTACACGGAGGAATTTTGAACTAATGCCTCAATCGTACCTCCCCTAAGTCAGACCCCTACAACTACAACTACGACACTGTCACACACAGACAGTGCAGATGATCTGAAGTAATCTTGGAAGGCTGGAATATGGGAAACGTACCATCATTATGACGTCACGCACGGAGCGTCCCTTGAGTCTTGCAGGAACTCGACCGCTGCTGGGTCATACCATAGACTAACCAACATGATTTTTGAAGTTTCATCAGCGATGACGTCTGAAAATTATAAGCTATAGAACAAACGTGATTTTATAAGCTGCAGCACATTTTGAGCTATACCATTTACCATTATAAGCTATGTCACATTTTAAGAAAACCGTTATAAGCTCTGCCACATTTCTATGATTATAAGTTATAAAATAATTTAAATTTTCCATTATTAGCTATGCCACATTTTCACTATTATAAGCTATATAATATGGAACAAATTCACAATTATAAGCTATGCCATTATAAGGTATGACATCTTACCGATCAGTGAAAACGATTCACTATCAGTCATTTCACTTCATTGTTCTGTTGTTCTGTTCAGTCTAGGACGCAGACGAATTTAATGATTTTGGTTGGTTCTTGGTTGGCACTTGGCTGGCATCTGTCAAGTCTGTCATCAAAATAGGCCTGTCTGCCGTATGGAAATATTTTGTATTGTTAAAGACAAATCTTCTCATTAAATCTTTCTCCTGAAGGATTCCCAATAAGGCTATTTAGGAACTATTATTCTTTACAGTGGCTTTAAAACAAATCTAGGTTGAATTCTATGGTTTTTTTATTATGCGTTGTAAGTTAACTGGAGGCTAACTAAAAATTGCCATATACTTCGTTCAAGTAAAGCCTAGGAAGGAATGGTAAAATGTTCAAGAAACTAAAGGATAAAATTGCTGAAGAAGTTAAGCAATCTCCTCTTAAATCAGTGCAACAGTTGGCCCAGGTAACAAACCAACTCAGTTCAATTTAACCAAGTCATTATTTTCTAACCATAGTGTAAGCCAGCACTTCTTGTATTTGTTTATTTGTGTAGGCGGACTGCAGTATAATAGACCTAAGCCTTTTTCACAAATGTTCTTTTGCCTAATAACAATTTTACTTTGGTTTGGAGTCTATATTAGCTGAAGGGTAGGTCCACATGTGTCAAAACAATAGAGGTGACTTAAGTGAAGAGAACTAAGTTACCTTTCCCACATGGCGATATCCTGAATTGAACAATCAAACGACTAAGTTAGTGTTTGTCACCACAATAGGTAGCCTATAGGGTAATTAAGTTAGGCCTATTCAATATAACCGAGTCAACAAGGCTTAAAAGTGCAGAAGTGGTCGAGTGTTTACCTCTGAATCTGTGTTGGGCTTCCGTCAGAATGTCACCTTCTAAGTAGGCTATTAGTTGTTTCTTCATAATGGTCTCTATCACCTTGGAGAAAGATGGAAGGATAGATATCGGTCTGAAGTTGGATAGGAGTGAAGGGTCTCCTTTCTTGTAGATGGATATCGTCCGGGTTATTTTTAAATTATCTGGAAACATACCCTTATCTAGGCAAAGATTGATCAGATCTGTAAGGGGTGGTTGATTACAAAAGCCTCCAACTTGTTCAACAGGTGGGAGTGGCTAGTTAGTTATATCAAATGCCTTGATGAAGTCCAGGTAGATACAATCCAGTTGATTTCCATTGGAAAATGCGGATAAGATACAGCCGTATACCGGTCAGTAAATATGGTTAGGTTCGTAGTTGTTGATCTTCCAGACTTGAAGCCGATTGCCAGACTGAAGCAAGTGTTAAGTGAAAAAATTATAGTGTTCTTAAATGCAAAGGATATTCTACTGAGGACCAAGCTCTCAAAAACTTTTGCTAGAGATGGCTGAATAACAATCTGCCTGTATTTTCTGGCGTTAGACAAATCACCTTTCTTATGAATTGATACAACGAAGCCCTCTTTCATATTTCGAATAAATATTCTCCCTTGCAACAATTTGTTGAAATAGAGAGTTATTATTGGAGCTAAGGGTTCGGCACAATATTTGAGAAGACTGGCTGGTATCGCATCTGGTCCGCCCCCTTTTTAGGATCAAGATCCTTAAGTCTTTTCTCGATTTCAAATGCTGAAACAGTTATGCTTGCCAAATTTATGTCCATATTGTATGAATAGTCCGAGGCTTCATTCACTGGTGGTCTGTATACCTATCGAAGAAAAAAACATTTCTCATATATCAAGTGGATTAGTTGCGACTCTGTTGTCTAGATGAAGAATTTCCTGCGTTTAAGGCAATTTTCTTAGATGCGAATATAGCTCCAAAAGAGGTTGGGATCACTGTCTAGACTCTCGCCGGTTCTATTGATATAGTTGGAGTGGCTCACTCTTGCTGGCCTTTTGCACTGGCTCCGAATTTCTCCGAATTTATCCAGGTCAAGAAGATTATGGAACTTCTAGAATTTCGCATGTAACTTACTTGTTTCTTTTTTGCTAATCTTAGCTCCCTAGTAAGCCATGGAGGGAAGGATGTCCGTCTTACCGGTCTTAATGGATAATTCAGGAAAATAGTTTCTCTTAAATTGTTGTTAAATTCAATAAACAATTCTTGAATGCAGTCAATAGGAACTGTAGCAGGGTAAGGCTGTTTTTGAACCCACTTAGGCTATAAACTTTTTGAAGGTTGCACTTATGATAATCAGGCTCGAAAGTTAGAGGTTTAGTACATTACTATATTGGTGGGCACAAATTTCCATTGTCAAAGCAGTATGGTTATCATCAGAAACAATTAAAGGATTGTCAGAAGCATACACGTTCAATGCAGGATTTTACAAAAACACAAGGTCAAGCAAACACCCCTTGCATTTTTGGTTTTGTTCAAGCTGCAAGAAGTCCCTTAAGTCCAGCAAATGTGGACTACCCAGGTGCCCGCCGAGTTTGGAGGCATTGTTCCAATCAACAGCAGGCTGGTTAAAATCACCAGCGACGATCGTAAGGGCTCCTGTACAAAGAGAAGAGCACACCTCAGCCGTATACTTGTGTGTGTAGTGTTTAGCTGAGGACTGTTGGTATTTATGAAAAATATTTGCACCAACACTAGCATACATTTAGGCCTACCAGTGTATTTTATATCCCTAGTTATACTTAGAAGCCTATAAAGGCCGATTCACACATATCAGTCCAGTCACAGTTGCATCCACAATTTCGCAGTCAAACTGTCAGTCATTTGGTTTCAGTCACTCTTCCGTCACTTTATTTACAGTGTTGTTAAAGTAAAAAATGTTTAATTAAAACAAAATATTCTATCAAATTTTCATCGTCCGTCTTATTGATTGTTAAACATTACAAACATTAAAATATAAACACAATCATTTAAATAACAAAAAACTATTTTCTAACCTCAAACACGTCCGTCAGGCGTCCGAACAATCCAAAAATATCGTTGAAAAGAAATCTAAAATTAACTGACGGATGCTGGCAGAGCAAATGATGGAACTGCAACGGATAAGTGTAGATAGCGCAATAGAAAATCAATTAAAGAATATTTTTGTTAACTGTGACGTGCCTGAAGTGCGACGTGTCGTAACTGATGTGTCTAAATCGGCCTTTAAACTTATAAGACTGTGCATTTTCAGCAGGGTCCATCAATTACTTTTTAAGATAGGCTGTCAATGCTGAGCTTATAGTACCGGTAACTTAGGTTTATGTTTAGATTTAGGTTCTAAGTTAGTCTACTACACGCATCAACTTATCAATAGTTCTTGTTTACCCATGAAGCCTTAAAAACAAAAGGTTCATTGATGTCTGCCATATTACTTTTAACTTTCAATCTACTACATTACTAACAAAAGGAAACAATGTATTTTATCTAATAACTTATTTTTTCAGGCTGTTGTTTCTCCTTCTAGTAGCTCTGTATTTGAACCATCTTCAAGTAATGATAAATTTTGTATAGAAGAAGGAGATGTTGAAGGTAAGAGTATGCTTTATTTGTGCTACCGTAATGAATGCAAGTTTTTTTTGTATATTGATCTAGATATACCCAATAGGTTATAGGCTACATAGGTACCGTACAAAGCTAGGTGTTACCACAATTGATTCCTCAAAATCATTCATTGGTCTAGGCCTATACTTCACACCCTGATTGTAAATATTTATACAGCTTCTATTAAATACCCCCGCCGCAGCAAATCTCCAGACTAAGCGAATTTTAATTTGCCTGATTTGATTTTCAATTAAATCTATTCAAATTTAGGGTTAAGAAGTAGGCCTACCTAGGTTTGCTGCCTACAAGGAGGGTAATAAAGTGTGTGTTTTTAGTAAAATATTAATAGCTTAGTCTATACTGTATAAATAAATTTAGAGATTTGTCTGTACATTGCTAAAAATTATAAATTTTTTGATTATTTTTCCGTTTTATACATTAAAGAAGCTGAAACAAGTCTCATCTCTATTTCTGTCTGTCTGTTACGGCCCAAGAGGCATTTTACGCGGCCTTCTCCTGAAAAACGAGAGTACCTATCAAGATCCAAATCATTTTAATGTATTCACTGGATTGGCGAGATTATCTTTAGCCATTAAAATATGGCCTCACTATTTTTTAAATAAAATGACGGATGTTAAAAAACCCGATTTCGTGCGATTTTTGTCAAGTTTTCTCCCAATGTGCATCAGATAATACTCTATGAAATAACAAACAGCTGTTCAGATCAAGATTATTTTTTCTAGCTGTCACTGATATGTTTACATTAAATGTTGTTTACAAATACCACAAAAATTTCCAATAACGTTTTGGAAGCGAAATCCAAACCAAGTGAGATTAAAAACCATTTTCCTTACATGAAGGATTTAATTAATCGAAAGTTCAATAATGTCTATTGTAACCGTAAATGAAATTAGAGATTCTTTGTGTATAAAATTGTTCTGAAGTTTTGATAGCGGGAAAAAGACCTTGAATCAGTGTTGTATAGGGCTGGGAACTTGCATTTATAAAATCATGTCGCCAATAGCTTACTAACAAGGTTTTCACTCATTGACAGAGTTTCAATGGCGGTTGTGTGAAGTGGCTACAACATACTAAATTTTTATCCAAATCGTTCGGGCCATTTTCAAGAAAATCCGATTTTTCTTGTTATTTTATGGATTTTTATGTGAAAATCAACATAAAAAATAGAAATTTAAAAAAATAAAAATAAACCCTGGAGATGGATTATGGATTAGTACCTAAATACCAAATTTCATCAAAATCGGACTACAGGTGTAGTCTGTAGCTCTGTACACATACACACATACATACACACACACACACACACACAGACATCACTTCAAACATACCTAACTTTTTTGGGTCCAGGAGGACCCAAAACGGATATATCCACTCAAAACTCAAACTCGGATATTTTGATGAAAACAATACTTTCTCCATATACAATGGTATAGGGGGAGAAAGTAGAAATGAACATCTTATCTTACTAATACAGTATTATAAATCTGAAAGTTTGTGAGTTTGTGTGTTGCTCAATCACGCACAAACTACTGGACAGATTAGGTTGAAAATTGGCAAGATGATAGCTCACATTCCCTATTAACATTTAGGCGTATTCTTATCTCAAAAATCCTTTCGGGCTCCGCCCCAGTGGGTCTGTAGTTCCCCATGTTAACCTTATGAGTATTCATATTTAAAGGGAATTAAAGAATTTAGTCAGCTGTTTCAACTTTACAAGTTGGTTCTATAATATGCAATAGCATTAAAAAGTTATAAGGTTTCCCAACAGGGTGCAGCACTATTATTATTTTGTTTGTGTATACAGGGTGTTTGTGAACTCTCTCGAAAAAATTCATAGGATTGTTCCTTGGGTTAATACAAGAATATTTTACATCATAAATTTGGGTCGCCGGAGCCTCGTTTTCCGACTGTCCGTCTGTATGTGATTTTCACAAATGAATCCATAACTTTCGAATTCCTTAAACGATTAACTTGAAACTTGGTACGTAAGTAGTGACAAGTAAGACTAATCTTTGCACAAAGTATCAGGTTTATAAGTTGTACCAATCCAAAATGGCGGTCATTTAAAATTTTCTTTCTTAAATAACTCAAAAACCATTGATTTTACAAAAAAATTACATGAATAACTTTTTTAAGGCAATTTAACTACAAATCGATTGACACCTCATTTTTTAAGATTGGACAAATATCAACTGAGATATGGCAGTTTTAGTGATACGTGACCACTAGAGGTTAGTTGCAGTGCATACCAAAGCATACTTAAGTCTGTCACAACAATGCAACAGTCTCCATCCGCTTTGCAAGTTATTTTTAAGCGATTTTAGATTATTTCAAAAAAACAATAAAATATTACATATTAAAATATCAAATCAAGATAAAAATTGTATCTATAAATTTTTACTTAGAAGATGAGACGCAGGAGCAGGAGAAACCAGGGGGATTCACCTCCGTAGCCCTGACTGGTCAGACTGCATCACCAGTCCGAGATCAGAGCCAGAAATACACCTACCGATCCTCCCCGGGGTCTCTGACAGTTGAGGCTGATAATCTGTTTCCTAAATTTGAACCACAACCAACAAACTACCATGTTCAGGTACTATGACACTCAGACTCTAGTTTGTATTTTGGAACTTGATTTGTGAGACTTAACACATAGTCCATCCTCAATATAACAAACTTCAATATAACAAACTTCAGTGTAACAAATCCCTTGATATTAAAACTTTTTTTACTTCTCTTAAAACTCTTCATAAGTATGCTAGCAATGTAAATTTAACTTCTACATAACAAATAAACTGTATGCCTACTCACAACCTCAGCTTAGCGAATTTCTCCTTGCTAGAACTTCTGCTTTGCATATTTTACCTCTATGCCTATAAAACAAAACTCTCTAAACTGTATCTCATTGTAACTAACATAACGTACAAGGTACAAAAATACCTAGTATTGTGGAAGAGTTGAAAGTTTGTGAAAGTTTAGATGACACAGATAACACTATTAGAAAAAAGAAAAAAAGAAAAAAGAAAAACTTTTCAAAATTCTGAATACAAAATTGGCTTTAAAACAAAAAATAATGCTTTCAATATGATAACAAATAACATTACTACAAATAAAGAACATCAAAATATCTACGACAAATATGGCATACACAAAATTAACTGCACTGATTGTGAACACTTCTACATTGGTTAGACAGGACGCTCTTTTAAATCTAGATTCAAAGAGCACATTCAAGCTCTTAAGAGTAACAACAGAACATCCATGAAATCAAACTTTGCTGAACGCCTTTTATCGACCAACCACAATTACACAAATTTTAAAAAACAACATGAAAATTCTAAAAGTTTTAAACAAAGTAAATCGAATGGATTCAACTGAAGAATATTTCATATACGAAGAAAATCTCAAAAATTCAAATCATATTTTAACCCTCCCAGTGTTACTTGACGAAAATTCGACAAGCAGCACACTTTGTGTAGTGTTACTTGTCGACTTTTCGACATGCAGACATCGTTTACGGCGAAGGCTCTATGACTGACTGAATCGGATTGAACTGGATCGAGTTAGGTATCGTTCTTTCCGTAATATTCTAAGCTTTCTCCAGAGGTCTGTCTCTAAGCGCTATTCATTTTAGTTCCGAAAATATTGTAGCAGACAGCTGACGTGCGTGTATTTGTAAACAGCTAGGTTCCCCCGGACCGATGACTGATGTGTTTTATTACGTTTATCATTGTTTTAGTGTTAAAAATCAAAAGTAGTGATATACGTGGTGCATTATAAGAAGATTTAAGTGGTTTTGAAGTGCTGGTTGATGATCCTGAAGAAGTAGGTAGTGATATTGATGTAAATTATCAGCCAGATTCCTAGCTATGGTTAGGCTATGCATTCTTAGTTAAACGCTATGTACTGAAATCAGTTTTTTGCCCATAACTTATTTATTTGCAAATATACTTCCTTATATTATTATATAGTTGTAATCCTCATAAAATTTAGAACAAAGTGGCTATTTTCAAATATTTATAAGCCTATAATTTATACAATTTCATTGAGCGCGAACTTATTTTTTTTTTTGAAAATTTTTGAAATTATATTTTTTTTACCTAAAACTTTTTTTTTTGAAAAAATGTTCCTTATGTTTTATATATAATATTGAAGCCCATGATTTTCCAAACAAAATGGTATATAGAACATTAGAATTAACATTGTTTTAAGCTTCTCAGATCCGTTTTAATAAAACCTTGCAAATGCGCCAAAAATAGGTGGACATTAAGGCCTAAACTATGGACACTTGGAGGGTTAAATAGCCAAATTCCTTCAAGAAACCCAAATCCTGTCTAATTCTATAAATCATCTGTATATCTAAATTATATTTATTTATATACAAACAAACAATATAAACAACAGTTAAGTATTTAATGTAGGCCTATTTGAAGTTTGGAAATGGACTTATGTCCAAAACATGTCACTTCTTTTAAAAATATAATATTCAGGGTGCTCAGTTGTACTTATTTACTCCAATAATTTAACACTATTTTAATATATTTATAAATATGACCTACATGGAAAAAGCACAGACAGATATTCCCTTTTAATAAATAAATACAAATTGAGATAATATAGAACAGTAGTGAAATGAGAGTTTAAAAAGTTCGGGTTTGTACTTCATCAACGAGTTTGTGCACCTAATTAGATTTCTATATCAGGAACAAAATGTTACATTTCATAATTTTTAAATCTATGCTAGTAGTTTATTTTGTAGTACAAATACATTGTTATATGTCATCAGTCTGACTGGGAGTCGGCCAGTGAGGTGGAGGACAGGTACAGTCAGTTGGAGCATATCACCAAGGAAAGTCTGTACGAAGCTTATCGCAAAGTCTACAACCGCTACAACAAGATGCGGAACAGATATCACGAGGTGGTTACTCACTACCGGCAGCTGGAGAGGGAGAAGGAGAAAGCCAAGGTGATGTTGACAGATTGTGGTCATTTTAGTAGCCTAATAACCAAAAATTGAGCACTTATTTTTATTTTTGATAAGCAAAAGACGTCATTAAACTCTTCCTAAAATGACTTGAACCAACACTTGGGAGCATAGATTTTCAAGTACCCCAAATATGGTACGGTAATAGGCCTACAATTAAATGTTGGCTGTGGAATAAGAACACAAGATAAGAATAAGAATATTTTATCTCCATTGATCTGTTTGTGTTTGTACAGAAATATGACAAGTCAATTTGTTATACAATGTTATACAAATATAACATATAGCAAATAAAAATAAAACAAGACATTATTGTATTAAAAAGAAATACAAACTTGTGTATTAAAAAAACTCCTCAAGTTTATAAAAGGGATTTTCTACCAGCCAGGTGTACAATACAGATTTAAACCTGTTTAAACTAACCTCTCTTGCATTCTCAGGCAGCTTATTAAAAAAAGTAAATGCAATTTTGTTTAAAAGAAGTTTTAGTTTTGGTAAGCCTATGTGGTACTATATCCGAATTCCCCCTCCCCCTGGTATTATGATTATGAATATTTTGCCTAGTAAGAAACATATTTAAGTTTGTTTTAGCATAAACCAGAACTTGAAAGATGTATAGATTGAATACTGTAGGAATTTTGAACTCTACAAACAGTTGCTTACAGTGTGCTACGTGATCGACTCCTGCCATATTACGAATAGCTTTTTTTTGAAGCAATAGGATGTCATTAACATGTGGTGAGTGACCCCATGCAAGCAATCCATATATTACATGTGCCTGAAAGAGGCCAAAGTATGCTAGTCTCAAATAATCAGGACTAACAAAACTTTTGAGTTTCCAAAGCAGGCAAGTCACTCATCTTGAAATTTTGCTACAAACAGATTTAGTGATCAGACCAGTTTAATTTTGAATCAATATGTATTCCTAAAAGCTTGACCGATTCCATATTGACTTCTCTTTTTAAACTCAATGTTATATATTGTGTTTTTTCTAAATTACAAGATAGTTTATTTGTCGAGAACCAATCATAAGCCATTGTCTCTGCTTGTCGGGACATTTCTTGTAAATAAATCAAGTTTTCATGATTGGAAAGTAATGTTGTATCATCAGCATAAATAATGGAATAGGTATTTAAGTTTTTGGGCAAATCATTAATATAAACTGTAAAGAAAAAAGGACCAAGGCATCTTGGAACAATTATTTCTAACGGAAACATATTGTAATCTCTTTGATAGGTGTGACTCAATCACTGTCAAATGCTTTACTGAGGTCACACAGCACTAGAGAAACAGATTTTTTTGCCTCAAAAGCATCTAAAGAATAATCTACTAAATTTATTATTGCTGATGTTGTTGATTTATTTTTATGAAAGCCATGTTGACAGTTTGTAATTATATTATGTGATTCAAAAAAGTAATTGAGTTGATTATACATAATTGATTCATATATTTTTGATAAAATTAGAACAATTGAAACTGGGCGGTAATTTTGAACCATATTTTTGTCCCCCTTCTTAAATATTGGTGTGACTTTTGAAACCTTAAGTGATTGAGCAAAATAACCTTCCTGCATGCAGTGATTTAAGATAAAAGCCAATAAAAATCCATAGCCTTAGAGTTTGAAAATTTAGACACAACTTTTATAATGTCCACCGGTGAGAGTTTTTGCCACATGAATGAATCTTGATAGATAGATTTATCTCCCAAAAAGTGTTCCATACTAAAAGGTGTAGTAGAAATTCCGTCACTTAACTCTTTTATTGAGTTTTGAAAATATGTATTAAATTCATCTGGATCCAGGCTGACATCCGGGGTAAAAGAGGGGGAATTTTCGTCTCTAGTTACCTTCCAAGCGGCTCTGCACTTGTTTGGGGCATTGTTAATATATTTTTCAACTGCCAATTTTTTTGCTCCTGCCAATTCTTTTCTGTACCTTCTTTTAATTTGAATATATGCATTGTAAGCTGCCTGAGATTGTTCTGATCTTATTGAAAGAAGATTCTTATAAACAGAAAATAACAGTAACATTTCATTTCTTGTCTTTCCTAATTCTAAAAGATGTGCTATGGAAACAAGAACTGGCTATTCGTAGAAATTTACGGAGTGGTGTAAAGATTTTAAAAGAAACATCCTAAACCAGAAACTTTGATTAGTTTTCAATCTTTGACCGATTAACACTAGTCTTTTTTGTTCCCCTTCTAATTACTTTTTTAGATTAAAATTAGTTTTATGTCTTTTATTGCATATTTAGTTCAACGCAAAATGTCCATATTTAATCAAAATAAAAGCCGAAAAATTAAAATAAATGGTCTTTCTCCTATTAATGTAAAAGAAGCAAAACAGGTGTTGTGTGCAATAATTATCAAACTCACTAATGCCATCAACTTCCATCCAAGCCGGACACCGTTTATTTAAGGTGGGACCTCTGACCGGTCAAGCCACGCTTTAGTAAGCTTAACATGGATGGATTGCATACATACAGAATTTAAACCCGCAAATGTATAAAGACCTCAGAGCTACACTCGTTAGTGCAACGCTTTAGTCAACTGAGCTAACGAGCCACTGTTGGCCAAGAACACGAGACACCAACGCTCGCAGGTCAGATTCGATGCCCCCGAGCTATACTCGGGCCTAGGGCTTAAAATGTTAAGTTTTGGCCTTGCCTGAGGATTTCTGTTGTTTGTCATGATTCTGAGAAACTTTGGTAATTATGTACTGAAAATTTGCAGACAGTATTGACAGAGACACAAGACAAAGCACTGCTACGCATCAGTGAGCTGAGAGACCAGTGTTTGTTGGAGCAGCAAGCCAAGGCTCATCTAGAGGAGGCATTACGCAACGAGCTGGAGGAACGAGACCACATCATCAAAACTCTCAGGACCAAGGTAAACTGAGACAGTAGTCTGAATCTTAGTTATAATATCGTCACTTTGCTGAGTGGTTTTGGGAAAATCAAGAGGTCGCAGGTTTGATCCTGAGAAAAGTTGAGTAATCTTTTGATCCAGCCAAGTTCTTGATCATCGGGTTTTTAACTTATTCCATAGAACAAACTAATTTGGTTAGAAACATAGCTTCATAGATCGTCTAATTCTGTATATCACTCATCTTGCACTCATATTCTGCTTTAAAAATGTACCGGTACCAAAAATGTTTGCTGTTTTAGTACAGTGGCGTATACCATTATGGCGTTGCTGTCTCAAATATGTGACAATGTTTATAATAGAAGCAAATTAAGGCACTTTGAACAACCGAGACCACCATCAGTTCTAAGGGAACAGTACAATTATATATTTTATTTGTTACAAGCTTAGTATAATACTAGACTTGTATGTTTTAGGTACAATATTTAAAGGGTGTCAGTGACAGTACTGGAACTGAATGCCTAGATGCATCTTACTCTTCGAAGGAGGAAGCAAATCTCATAGACTTCACGGAAAACTCTAGTGTTTCATTAGTGCCTTTGCCATTAGATGCCTCAAGTAGTGCAGGTATGGTGTCAGCATATTTTTTGATACTACGGATTTCATAAAATATAGTTCATTAATGAATTTATCTTCAGGTACTTTGGTATTATACCGACCACACCTAATAATTATAACCTAACCTAACCTAATGGTAGACTATGTTTTAGGTTAGGTTAGGAAGATTTTGTTGTTTAAACTAATTAAAATCTTATTTGGAAGTCGCTTTATCGGTTTGGTTGGCTATAATACCAAATTACCTATCTTTATACTAAACTAACAATTTCAGCTATTCTAGCACAGTTTGAGAAGAAAAATAGGTTGATATACAAAGTAAAATGGACTTGAAAAACAATTTCTAACTGAATTTTTGCACTTTGAAAAAGAAAAACATTCAAGTATATTTTGCTTCTTATCTGTTTCTCTGGATTTTTGTGTTTATTGCTTCAGATTCTTCTTTTCTCTTGTGACAAATTTCCTTCTTGGAAGATGATTACTAGACATACTCATCAGTGATTTGTTCCCTTTAGAGCTTGTATTATTTACACAATTATTTTATTTGCCAAAGTATATCCAGTCTTATTTATTTTGTTCAATGTGACTTGTCATTTCAAACGTTTTCTCTTAAATTAAGACGTGTCTAATTTTACCTCCTATTTTAGTTTAGTTCAAGGGGCTCTTTCTGTCCATTACAGTAAATAATCAAATTACTTTTGTTTATAAAACTATAAAATATATTTATATTTATTTAATAGAGTAAATTGTGTAAACTGTTGTAGTGCTACGTGTTAAATTAAAAATCTTATCGGTTGTTTTATCTTTCAGACAAAATTAATTGGTTTGAAGAAAAGTTGAAGTTAATAAAAGCTACTTTGATTGAAGAAACAGAACAATTTGACCTATTGAAAAGTAAATTGAAGGTAAGATCGTTTTGTAATTTATTTGTCTTATGAAAAGATTCCTCCTTTTAAGTAAGATAATTCAATAATCTTCATTGAAAAAAAGACAAAACATGTGTTTGAATTGCTGTTTATGACACTATTTGTACTGTTTTATTTTAGTTGAAGCATGTTTAAAAAAGCTAACAATCTCAATTATAAGTATTTTATTTTCAGGGTCAAAAATAAAGAAAAAAGTTATATTTTTACAAAGCTATAGCCTACAAACAATTAAGAAGTTTTTTTTAAAACATTACAAAGTAATAGGTAGTTTAAGTAACTCTTTCACTAAACTAAAATTAAAAAAATCAGAAAAAATCGCCCAATTCAGCAATGACGGTAGAAACAGCAAAACTCAAAACCATCGCGGGAGACGATAGCCAAAGTCTCGGAGAATGTAGGTAATGCTCCTCCCGATATCCAACATTTTGAGGGGTTCCACTGTAATTAATAATTAGGCCTAAATAATTAATCAAATAATTATTTTTCATGACTTGAATATTATAGTACCGTAATTAAAACATTACAATTTTTTATTTTTTCACATTACACTGTTTTTCTTAATGAAGTTTGGCCTATATTTTAGTAATTCTATTTTGCTGCCATAAGCAGTAAACACTTGGTTATAATTCTTAAGTAATACTGAATCACTCTGGTTGATTCTCAAAGACAAAATATATTCTGAATAGGAAGGGCAGTGATCTGAGTTAGATAGGTCTGGCTCAGTGTCCAAGGGTAGAGAAGCTCACTGCTGCACATACATAAGTGAGGAACATGTCTAGTCAGTGTTTGGCAATGTTTTCAGAATGGCGTACATAATTACCCAGTGCTACCCGTACCTATCCACCCAACCGTCCCCCAAGGCCATACCCCCAAAACGCTAATGTTTTGAATAATGATGAAATATGTTTTATCATGGAAAGATTGTGAAACCAGCTTCATCTTAGACTCTTATGTGCTGAAATAAACTTATATAAGTGTTACATTTTGCAAAGATATGTAAGGTTTCCGAGTTTTTTGAGCCAAACTCCTAGAAAAAGCGTGAGCATTAAAATTTGGTTTGACCCGAACTTTTTACAATGATCTTGATGTTAAGGACAATACTCTTTTACAGCCCCCAAAAAGTTAAAAAGATTCAAGAAATATCAATTTAGGCTGTTACAGAGTATTTACTTAATAGATGGATACAGAACTTGTCTGGTAGCTTGATAACATCTGCAACCCACAGATGCAGTTAATTCACTATATCACCCGCACCTTTTTAATGCATGATTTTTATTTCAGAAGTTGAAACTACAGGGAGGTGCTTCTGAAGATGAAAGCTTTGACAATGTGGATAACTCTCAGCTTTCTAAATTCCAACAAAATGAAGTTGAAGTTACCAAAGCTTTGGGCCACTTAATTGGGAAAATTTCTGCTGAAGTTCAAAGTCTACAAAAGAGTGCAATTTCTTGTTCCTTATTAACTTCAAGCTATGATAAGCAAAATTTTGATTTAAAATCCACAAACAAAAAATTGACCGAAAACAGAACTGCTCAAGATGAACAAAAAGTTGAAATGGAAAAACTTACTGCCTTAATCAAACAACTTGAAGAACAAAATAAAACGCTATCTCACAAGTTGGAAGATGAAAGTAGTTCTTTAAAAGAAGTGAAAAATGAACTAAATTGCCTCAAAACAACATCAAACATGTTAAAAAGCAAAATAAAGTTATCTAATGATAATTATGGAAAAAACGATGCCATAAATTGCCTTATTTCTAATGTAGAGAATGAACTGATTCAAGAATGGAATTTGTGCTTTCAAAACTTTTTACAAACGAGATGTGAAGTGACAGTGCTGAAAGATACAAAAGAGGATTTAGAAAAAGAGTTATTAAGGTTAAAGGAAGAAGGTAAACAATTAGAAAATACCAACAAGGAAATTACAGAAAAAAATAACAAATTTAAAGGAGATATGAAATCTTTGCAAAATAAATTGGAGGAATACTTAACTAAACTTGATACTCTGTCAATGGAAAAAAGTGAACTGAAAGCCAGCAATGAAAATTTAGAGATGCAAATAAAAAAAATCGAAAAAACATTGTTACATTATCAAAATGTCTCTGGCGAGAAGAGTGAGAAGTTGCAGAAAATTATTGATGAGAAAAGCAGAGAAGAAACAAAACTTATAAGCTTAGAAGAAGAACTTGCAAAGTGTAAAACTGAGTGTGGTCTTCTTTTGGAGTCAAAAGAAATTATGAATAATGAAATTGTGTCTCTGAGGAAAGAAAATATTGATGTGATCTCAGAAAAAGAAGCTCTGAATAACAAGGTAAATGAAATGGAAAACAAATTAAAGCTAATCAAAGATGACTATAAACTGATGCAAGATACTTCAGATGGACTAGAAAATCAAATCAACTCATTGACCAACTTAAATAAGGAACTTGCTGCTGAAAAAAATACTATTCTCTTGAAGCTTTCAAATCTTGAAAGTGATCTTGAGAAAAATAAAGCATCCAACTCGAGTCTACTTGAGGAAAAGAACAATTTAATGCATGAGCTGGAACACTGGAAGAGTGAATTTGAGAATATCAGTAAAGAAAAACTTACCGTCACTGAAAAACTTGATCATCTTGTCAAGGAGTTAGAAAGCAATAAATCAAACTCAGAGTCTGTTGAGCTTTTACGAGAACGTTTAAATGAGGTTGAATCTTTAAAAAAAGAAAATGATAAATTATTAGAAGAAAAGCGTGTTTTAGAGAATAATATCAAATCACTGAACTTAGAAACTGACAGGCTCAAATCTAGCTGCAGCGAATACATCAACACCAAAAATGATTTGTCAGGAGAGTTGTTTTCTGTGAAGCAGGAACGAGACAAACTTGTATCTGAGATTAACCTTCATGCAAATCAAATATTAGAACTAGAATCAGCTTTGAATGCTAAAATTGAAGAATTGTCAATCCTTATGAAAGAGCATGCTGAATTAACTCTTAAGACACATGATTTGCAAAAAGAACTAACAAAACTGCAAGAATCTCAAAAGTTAAACTTGGAGAATCATTCTTCTATATCAGAAGTCAATAAGAAGTTATCTGATGAACTTAGTTCCTTAGGAAAAGAAAGAGAGAGTTTACTAAATGAAAAATATACTTTGGAAAATGAATTTAAAACTTTGAACAACAAGTATTTAACTAGTGTAGAAGAATTAACAAAACTGACCAAAGAACAAACACAATTGGATGAAAAATTTCAATCTCTACAAAACAAGTACGAGAAACTATTAAAAAACAAGAAAAATGAAGAAGACAGTATGAAGGAAATAAAAAGTCAACTTAGGGAAAAGGAAGAAATGTTACGGTCTGTCAGTGAAATAAACCAGCAACAGTCAAAGGACATAGAAATGTTGAAAGAAAATTGTACGAAAAATGAGAATGAACTGAAATTGTTAAAGGATAGACATAACACTATCGTTGCTGAACTTGAAAAAAACAAAGAGCTTGTTTTATCTCTCAAAGAAATTAAAATAAAGTTATCTGAGGAAATCAGTTGTCTCAAGAACGATTGTGAACGCTACGAAGAAAGTTTAAAAAAAACTAAAGCACAGCTTCAACAGGAAGAAACTAGTAGTTTGGAGTTGAAAAACCAGATTTGCTCTATATCAGAATCCTTCAAGGAGAAGTGTCAGGAAACAAATGAAAAATATCAAGAAAATATACGTCTAAAATCTGAAATGGATAAACTCATGGATAAAGTAAATGCCTTGAATACATGCATTGAAAAACTTACCAAAGAAAAGAATGTCATTTTAAATTATTTGTTAGTTAATTTTAATAATGTAAAAATAATCAAAGAATTGCAAAAGGGTTTGTGTGATTTTGTCAACGATTTTCAAGATGAAATGTCTCGTGAAATCAATTATATTAATTATAAGTTGGAGAATGATTTGTTGAAACTTGTAAATCATTCAATTGAACACGAAATAGAATGTTCTCACGCAAAACTCATTGAGGTAGAACACAAGAGCAAAGATGATATTAACTCATACAACTCAAAATTAAAAAATTTTCAAGAGTTATCAAACATACAAGAAGAAGTGTTACAAGTTAATGTCAAAGGCTTAGAAAGTGTATATCCAGTAAACAATGAACAAGAAACTGGTTCAAATATGGTATCATTTAGACAGATGGGACACCTAGAGAGATTATCTCAACTAGATATTGGCAACTCTTACGAACCTGAAGTTTATTTGAAACAAGCTATATTACTGATGAAATCTTTCACAAACCTGTTGAATCATAATTCTGTGAATAGTGAATACTCTGTTGATTTGTTTACATCAAACAATGACAAATCAAAACTTGATTCAGAAGGCAAAAATATTCAAAAAGAAATTGTTGCGATGGAATCATTCATAACCAATTTTGAAACCAAATACCATGAAACAAGTTCTTCAAAATTGAAATTTCTAGAAACTGATAGATCTGATAATAAGCTATGCAATGAAATGGAAATGCAACTGAGACAAGAGATCAGTCTTAAAGATGATATTATTAAAAAACTCCAGTCTGTTATTGAAGATTATGAGCAGAAAGAACATGTTAATGACATTGAATTTATTTACAAACAAAAACTTCAAAGGCTAGAGCAAGAAAATGATTTACTCAACGAAAAACTTCAGAAACTCCAGGATACACATGAGTTAAATGTGAAAAATGTTGTTTCTGAATATGAGAAAAAGATTAAAGAAGTCGAAGATGAATCCAGCCTCTACGATTTTGAAAAGATTGGTAAGTTTTTAATTTTTACTTTTTAAAAGCATTACACACTATATATCATCAAACATTAGTTAGTTAAAATTAACTTAGATGTATTACGTGAAAAACTTATGTATTTAAAATATGTTTTATGGCTACACTCATCCTTCACTCACATTTAGGTTAAAATACACACCTAAGTGGCATCCCTATCTCAATTAATTTATATTGATATGATACAAATTTCTTTAAAAACAGAACTAGTTTTAAAATACATTATAACCTTTTTTGCAGTACAGTATTAAAGATTAAATTTTAAAAGTTTCATACCAGTTTTAAAAATTTTCCTACCGCTGCATGAAAATGATCACCTTGCCACACCTGGAAACAGTACGCAAAATAGCTCATTTCCGCTCACTAAATCAGCTGATTTTACTCATGGCGTTTATATGAAACACTAACATCCGGTAGCCTAAGCAAATAACATAACCTAAACTAGACGTTATTATATACGTTTTTATGTAAATCATGGTAATAGGAAAAATGTTGTGTGTATTATGAGCACAAATAATCATTGCCGCTCTTGAAATGTATGGCCGCACTCAGCTAAAGTTTTGGACATCTACAGTTATGGAGCGGCAATGATATACTTTGTGTTCTTAATACACAAAATAGCAATTTCGCTTGAAATGTCATAATTAATTTATTACCTAATCAAAATATATTCTATATACTATAACTATATTACTATATACTACTATATTAATCTAGTGATGGTCGGATCCGGATCCGCCGGATCTGAGCTAGAACCGACGCTCGATGGGATAAAAAAAAAATCGGATCTTGGGCTGGATCCGGTTTTAATGGATCCGATTTTTTTTATACTATTAACACAGTGCAAGTATTCGAGATTTCGAGTTCGAGTAGAGTACGGCCTTGAAACTCAAGCTTATCTTTGAACTCGCCAGTTTGGTTTGAAATTGTAAAAAATCAATATTTGTTCAAATGTAACTTGTGTTTACATAAAATGATGAGCAAGAGGTAGTTGTCCTAATCTATTTTTATAGCTGTCACAACAGAATAGGTCAACTCAAAGCAGTCGCCGGCAACTGACTGGCAATGGTATACTGACTTGACACAGAATAGAATGACATGATCGGTAGTGATTTTGTTTTAAAGTACTGTTTCACAATAAAAAATTCCACTACTGAACTGTTACGTAAGCAATAAATTTATGTTTATAAAGTCAGAATAGAAACAATAGAAAGGCAAAACAATAGAAGGGAGGGAGGGGTTGTGCAGTGACCTCGAAATGAGGGTGCATAGCAGCAGTGAGTGCATAGCAACCCCCGTCTTTACTTTTTATTCACCCTGTATATAGCTGTGCTATGTTAAAAAATAGCTAAAAACAGAGATAGCTTTTCAGAGGAAAAAAATAAAATTATCATCTGAATAATCCCAAGAGTACAACTTTATTTTTTTGACTGTGAGAAATGCTAATTTTGTCTATACATTAGGTAAGGAACAGAAGCACATTGTCAATGAAATGAAGGAACAAATTCAAAACTTACAACAAGATTTGGAAGAGAGAGGAGATGCATTTGAGAAGTTGTATGAAGAACACCAGCAAACTGTTAAAGTAAGCAGCAATCCAATCACTATCTATACACATTAGTAAAATGACTTTGAATTATATTTACTAAAACCCATACTATCCTCTCTAAAAATAAGGTTTTCATCCCAATACGGTTTGCTTGTATACTTTTGTGAATTTTGTATACAGCGTATTCAGCCATTGGGAAAGGAAGTTTTAATTTCAATGATTTAGTATTTGTGCTAGCTGATACTCCAACGGTGGTCTCCTTTAGTTGACCTTGTATAGCCTTCTTATTAACTGTAGGCACGTAAGGATATTCTTGTTGTACCTGTATCTTACTTCCCAAAAGAGATTTTAGCTTGTATTATAGTCAAAAATAAATACTTAATTTTTTCTAATTTATAAATTAAACTTACATTTTTAAATGCCAATATTACTCTTAATCAGGGCTAAAAGAAACGATTGATTATTAGGATGTTGCTAGCCTAGTTGTTAGCGTCTGAGGGAAATGGGTTGGTGCCTTAACATATCCATACAAATTTTGAGGGTTTGGACTGCTTTCTTTTCAAACCGTAGAATTACCACTGAAATACCACTAAAGCTGTCCCTAAAAAAATTGATTGCAGAGTTTGGATGGAGAGATTCACCAGTTGAGGAGTAACCACGACAAGGAGCTGAGAGAGCAAGACAAGAAGTGGAGGCAATGTCTGGACAGAAGATTGGCTGAAGAAGAGACAAGACACCAACAAGCACTGAACACACTCAATATGGAGTGGAACTCTGAGAGAAGAGTGAGTCACATTAAAACAACTCAATAGGAAATGAAAACCTTCATTTCCTAGTAAAATCCATTTGTTTGGACCCTAAACTGTAATAAAACTAAAATGGTCTGTAAGCTCGTCAATATAGCTTTAACAGGGTGTATACCAACCGGGAAAACCAGGAGAACCGGGAAAAAAACCTTGAACTTAAAGGAACCTGAAAAAAAACGTAATATTATTTTAGCCCCGGTAGAAGATTGCAATCGTAAAACGCGCATTTACCACGATCGCGGATGACGACTATGACGTTTCCGTGACCGCGGGAGTCAATGATGACGTCTACACGGGCGCAGGAAATTTTTGTGATTTTGCCGCGATTCCAGACTACAGGGTTTCTATGACCACGGGAGACAACAGATTATGTTGTTTCCAAGACCGCGAGAGACGACGATGATGATTTCTACACGGCCAAATAAGATTTTTGTGATTTTGCCGTGATCTCGGACGACGTTGATAACGTTTCTGTGACCGCGAAAGACGAAAATGATAATGTCTACATGGCCGCGGAGGATGTTCATGATTTTGCCACGATTGCAATCGCGGACGACGACGATGACGTTTCCGTGGCCGGGGGTTTAAATGATGATGTCTACACAGCCGCGGAAGATTTTCGTGATTTGCCGCAATCGCGGATGACAATGATGACATTTGTGACCGCGGGAGACGACGATAATGTCTACCTACCGCGGGAGATGTCTAGGATTTCGCCACGATTATGGAAGACTGTGATGACGTTTACGTCACAGTTGGAGGTGACCACATGACCACGGGAGATATTCAGGATTTTGCCGCCAATGATAATGATTTTTTGAACAATGGAGATAATAAAGAATTTTGCTGCTACCGAGAGTGACAATGTTTTCGTTGCCTTGCAACAAAACATACAACATGACAGATCATGTTTAAATATCTTAAAATTAACTTGTAAGAATTAAAGCCAATAGCCTTATCTGAGCATAAAATGAATCAGTCTGAAATTATCTCTCTAAATATCAAGGGATACAAAAATGCTCTTATTTTACAAGAAACTGTTCCTTAGGAGGGGGCGTCTTAATACTAGTTAACAAAGATAGTACTAGGTGGCGTTTGCAGAGGCATCCACAAAATTGAGCGGAGTCATCAGGGTTCATATTATATTCAAATTCAAACTCAAATAATCTTTATTTGTAAGTAGCATATAATACATGCATAACTAGTGTAAAAATACAGGTATGGAAAAGTATAATCAAAGGTTTCTTAGAATTATCAATGCAAACATTAACATTATTTCCTACAACTCATCTAAAGAAGCTTTGTTGATACATTCATATTAGTTTATTTATTGAAGAGGGAGGTTTAGAAATTCATCCAGCGAGTAAATTACTTTGTATAAGCTTTCAGTTGTCTTTTAAATTTAATTGAATTTTTGTCTTTATTAATATTTTCTGGGATTAATCTTAAAAACTGTTCACCATTATATGTTGGTTTTTTTCATAGAGCTTCAGTCTGTGCTGATTTTGCCTTATAGAGTCCTTTCTAGTGTTATAATGATGTGTAGTTTCGTGAGGGACATCATTAGGAATTTTGTTCTTTGCACACAAAATGACGTCAAGAACATATTGGTCATAAACCGACAGTATTTTTAACTGTTTGAAATGTTCTCTGGCCGAATCATCTTGATTCAATTTCAGCATTACTCTTATAGACCTCTTTTGGAGTCTTAACATACCATCCAAATTTGCTTTTTTTGTTGCTCCAAATAAACAAATACCAAAAGAAATATGAGAATGTATGTAAGCAAAATAAACATTTTTCAATGTTGTTAAATTACAATAAAAAGACATTTTTGAAAGAGCATGAATTCCAGAGTTCATTTTTGTCAAGATCTTGTTTACGTTTACGTGTTCATTCCAATTAAGGTGTTTATCGATAAACAGGCCAAGAAAATTTGTACTTGACTTTGGATCAATTATGGAATCAATTATTGGATCAATTATTGGTATTGACCGTTACCATCAAGCGTCATCATTATCTTTACCTACAATTTTAACTAAAGACAACCTTTGTGTAGAGATAAATATTGAAGTAATTAGATTGGCTACACGTTTCAAACAGAAGGGGAGCTAAAACACAGATATGTCATTTTACGCCTTTTCGGTGACCTGCATTTACATTTTAATTTAAACCCTATGGGTTGGTCATCAACTTTTTCTCAAACAGGGCGATACAGTTGCAGCTAGTGATAACCTAGAAATCAACATGTACAGTTTTGGATTCAACCATTTTGGTTACTGATAACTGCATAAGAGGACTTTGTGCGATGGTGAGTATATAAATGGAAAAAATATATGTATATGGCCAACTCTTAAATCTGAGACATTCATAACTACTAAAACCAACTAGCCACCTACATAAATATACTCAGTAAAACAATTTAACATATTTTTTTACAATACAAAAATTATAGATTAACTTTAATGAATTGTAATTTGTATTTATTTTGATTTTATTGAATTTGAACATAAAAAAAAAATTTTACACAAGTTGGTATTAACATTCACATCCTCATTGATTCCAGCGTTTAACCATAACCCAAGTGGTACACGTTAAAAACTGTTATAATCAATCGTGAAGTGATCGAAGACAAAGATTAAGCCTTCAAGTATTGGCTAAAACTGTTGTGCTTCCTAGTGGTCCTTGTTGATCTTGACAAGATTGAACAATTTGCTACGTAGCGGCATTTCAAACACATTGTAAACTCCACAATTATTCAAGAAAACCGGTGTATAGATGATATGTAAAGTTTGTTAACGTATAATTGAAACTAATTCATCACTTTTTTAATAAGGCTAATATTAATTAATTCAGTTTTTCTCAAGTAAGCATTGCTATTGGAGAGAGAGCTGGTGTAGTGGTTAGAGCGTGGGACTTAGGTCCTTATGAGGTCCCGGGTTCAAATCCTGCCAAATCACCAATGGATTTTATCTAATGCCCCAACCCCTAGGTCTAGCCTGAAGTAATGTGAAAAACAATCCCGGGCTCGTGCCTAGCGTCTTAGGGAAAAAAAGTAAGCATTAAGAAATCAACTAAGACACTATTATTTAAAATGATCTGTCTTGACCTTATTTGAAGCTATACATATTAACTAAACCATATGTAGTCAAGATAGACTTAGGGATATGACAAAGTTGTATACAACCAGTTGTTGGATTTCTTGGAATCGAACCAGTTGCTGGATCAAGAGAAATATGTTTTTCGACCAGGAAAATCCACAACCACTGCTAGCATTAACTTCATTGAATCAGTTATCAACTCAATTTAACAACAATGAAAAAGTTATTGGAATATTTTTGGATTTTTCTAATGCTTTTTGATAGGGTGCCACATGATAAATTACTTGAAATTCTTCATGGCCTAAATATAAATCATAAAGAATATAATTGGTTCAGATCATATCTAAACAATCGGAAACAACGTGTTAAAATTCGACATACCTCATACTATCCAAATTGCAAATATGCATACTCCCAAAATGTCTTATCTAACTTTAAAACAGCAAATTATGGTGTCCCACAGGGGTCTATACTGGATACCTTGTTATTTCTTTGCTACATAAGGGGATTTTCAGGAGTGGTAAATGCTGGAGAATCTGTATGTCTGCATGCAGATAAAACATAACGATTCAGGTAAATCTCAAGATGAAGTGGAACTAAAGTCTTTTTTTAAATTTTTGTCGGTAAATTAATTCACAAATAACAAAAGTATACTAATAAATTCAAATAGATAAAATATTTTATCTTTTCTTTATGCACAACCAGAATATTTCTATCTATTTCGGTTAAAAAAATACAGATTCATTTTAAGACTTAATTTATACACTGTATAGCTTATGGAATTTATATGGTGGTACCACCAAAAAAACCTGGACAAAATTCTACGTCAATAGGAAAAAGCTCTTAGAATTATCTTTAGTATAAAAAACAGAGAATCAGTTAGAAAATAATTTTCTAAATTGGGTATAATGACCATCTATGATTTATACATTTTTGAAACTATTGATTTATACATTTTTGAAACTATTCTACATGCAAATATCCCCGCCGCATCAATCCTGCCGACTAAGCAAATTTCCATTTGCCTGAATTGATTTTCAATTAAATGTATTTAATTAACATTAGGTTTTATGAGTACCTAGGCTTGATGCTACAGAAAGGGTAAGTGTGTGTTTTTTTTAATATTAATAACGTAGTATAAAATAAATTAATTTACCAAGTTTGATCAAAATCAAAATATACCCATAAACAAGCAAACTACAACATTTGACAATATTCTCCATAAGAATAACATTTCTAATTTTAAAATAACAATTTTTTGAATTTTCTCCGTAACGAATGATTGTACAAAAACACTTTGATATACTAAACTATTTGTTTTTTTAAGCTCTTTAAAAAGGTCTGGAGAGAAATTGGGAAAATTTGTGTTTAGAGGGTCAAAAATTAGAAAAAACAATTTTTACCCCATAAAACCCCCCGTAAAACCTCGTTCCCATGGTCCTATCATGCTGGTTCGCAAACTACTCCAAGTTTATCCCGCCTACACCTTCAAACCAAATTTCATCGAAATCGGACAAAAACTACTCAAGTTATCCTGTTTACGGACATACACACACACACACCCACACATATACATACATATATAAAAATTTGAACGAATGGTGTTTTTGGCCTCTGGGGACATCAAAATGAAAAAGTAAATCGGTCTCGGGCCTAGGTCTTACCATGCCACCTACGGTAATAAATACTTCCCTATTGGGAAATTCGCTAAAAGTTCAGATCATCAAACTAACAATTTCCACAGTTAAAATTCACGTAACATCAGGCATGTAGAACAACACAGATTGAAGTTATTTGAGAAAAAAACACCAGTTTCATTCATAAAAAATATTTATTTAGCCTACCCAAAAATATTTTTATTGAACATGATCACAATAACTTTAAACAACTTCTGAAATACTATTTTCAATTTAAATCATTATATTCAATAGAAGAGTTTTGGAAGTTAAATAAATTGCAAATATGTTATAATTTATGTTTGTAATCTTTTATTTAGGATATTTTTTTTCTCTTTTCCTTTCTGTGACGCAATTCAAGTATTTCCTGCAAAAATACTTTCATGAATAAAGATGATTTGTATTGTATTGTATCGTAACATTCACGCTAAAACTTGGAAAAACTGAAAAATCTGGAAAAAACCTGCAATTTCACTTAAAAAAAAATAGTATAAAAAAATACCCTCTACCCAAAGACCAAAGAAGTAAAAAAGCTTCTAACTAACTTGTTTGTTAGTTGTGTTTTGTAACTGTTGTTACAGCCATTTCAACATTATGCATTTTCCCCAAGTGAAAAAGTGCTTCTTGTCAAATGTGGTTTACTCTTTAGTCTTTTTGGATATCATGCTGAAAGCTATAGGCCTAGATGTGATGTGAAAACAACTTGTATTTGTACTTGTTTTACGTATTCACCTACCATTTACTCAGGCACAAGCCTTGTCGTTCTCCATCAGTGTGTCAGTATATTTAGTGGTATGTTGTAGGAGCTGGAGACTGCTCGTAGACTTGCAGTGAACGCAGTAGAGAGTGGTTCTGGCAGTAATGAGTTGTTGAGGAGACAGGTACAAGCCCTCACCATGCAACTGGCCGAGCTGAGGAACCAAAGGTACAGTAGCAAGATCAAATATGACCTCTGTACTTCCCAGAAGTCAAAGTTGTTCAACAACAAAAGCTGACTAGTTTTGCTACAAGCGCAACTTGTCAAAACATAAACATAAATTAAAACTCAAAACAAGATTTGTAAACAAACGTATCACAAAATTACCAAAAAATATTTCTATCATAATGATAACATATTATAATGACCAATAATTTATTAAACATTCACATTATTTGGCTCAAAAATTGAAATTTGACTCTAAATAATGGGTTAAGTTACCTTTTACTGCTGTCATTCCTTTAGATTTTTCAGATAACAAGGCCTGTTGCTTAGTTGTCAAATAATTTGTCTTTTCAAATTCATAATCAAATTGTCACATAAAACATCCATAGCAAAGCTAAACAATTGCTATTGTTAAGGGTGATATTGTCAATCAAATCTTAATCGAAAAATGCAATTTACAGAAAATTTTGTCTTAACTTACTGTTGTAGAGAAATGAAAATTTTGCATGAAACATTACTACTTGATTTTGTAAAATGTCACAGAGTAAAATACTTGGTTTACAAGATACTTTCCTAGTGTATTCTTAAAATTTTTTAAATTGACTTAGCTTTTAATGATTACAGGTTGATTATTAAAAAAACTTCATACCCATGTAACCTTTTTTCTATGTTGTTAAGTTATGTATTTGGTATTGACAATTTTCTTGATCCTTGTGTTGTATGCGTGTAAATGCTGCTGCCCACGAAGAAGATCAAAATTCTTCTGAATCAACAGCAAGCATGAAGATATATATATATATAGAGGGAAGGCTCAATAATCCTAACTGTTTAAATATTGGCTTACATGAGACTCATGGGGAAAATGTCATAATGCGAACAATTTTTTTAAAACTTGTCTTCTTTTCCTGCCAACAACTTGTGTCGGCACTCGGCAGTCTCAGATTTTTCATTATTTAGCTGGTCTAATTGATTTTAAATGTTCAGTGTGATTAAGTGTTTTGTGTATGTACTTATATGTACATTTGTTTTATTTATGACGATGACAAGTGTTGAGTAGAAAAAGAATGCAGAAGATTTGAAAATGAAGCAACTGGCCTTAAAAAATTGTAAATTGAAAAACAATAGGATTGATGACGGTATTGAAACCTAACTTATCATTTGGTAAAATGTTTCATGTTACTTGCATCATCAAGTGATCCTTTGCAGTAGATCACTACTATAGTTTTGGACTTCTGGAGTCCATCATCAGGTGTGACAAAAAAAATCAAGTCATCTAACCGATTAGGATTCGTTGTTGCCATTGTTTTTGTACATTCATAAACGCACAACAAAAATACAATTAACGAATATAATACTGAAAAACTGGCAAGTGTCATCACATAGCCATGTGCGGTGACGCTGGAAGATGAGTTGTGACCGGTGCTCTTCAGATGAGTCAGGATGAGCCTCATGCCTCATAATAATGCATATAAGCTGATCGACAATGGAGTAAAGACAACAGAGTTACATATGAGGTTGTCTAGTCATGGCAAAGTAGCTTACGGTACTTGTAATTTGGGTTGCGTTTAAGAAAAACACTCTTTATATAAGATTATTTATATACTTTTAATATTCACTAATTTGCATCATAATAAAACAAGTAAAATAGTGCATTGTACTAAAAGTTAATAGAACAATAATAATGGATTTGGCCAAAAACAGTTTTGGTTCTTCTAATAATATCTCAAAATAAATTATTGGATCAGGATGGAAAATAGTACAAAATTATATGGCATTTCCTTGTTTACATGAGTTTTAGTGCATTTTTTTTTCTTGTACCAGATGTGAAGCTTGTGGCCGTAAAAGAAAGAGTGAAGTAGGAGAAGATCAAAGATCAAGATCGGTGCAAGACTGTACTGAGATGGAATACCTCAGAAATATTCTCTACGAGTATATGATGGGCAAGGAACCATTGGTGAGTTTTGATTTTGATCCACAGTTTTTAGATGGTGTAAAAACTGATCAAAAATGCCATGAGTTGACAAACCATTCTAGCGATCTATTTGGATCTGTGAAATAAGTCCCAACTATTTAATGTAGTTATAGGAATATAATTAAAGGAATATAATAAATAGAATATAAAAAATCTATTACTTATAACTAGCCACTGCTTTATTTTTGTAACTGCTCAATGAAATTTCTTGCTTTTTTACATTTAGTGAAAACCCAGTTAAACCTAAATATCTGTTTAGTGTGTAACTAGAAAAAAAAATGTAGAATGTATAATTAACGCTTATTATTTCTGTTCAGGTTCTAGCTAAAGTCCTTTGTGCTTTAGTGAAGTTCGATGAAAATCAAACAAAGGAAATTGTATCAAAAGAAGAACATAGGATAACACTTGTGAGTACTTAGGGCAAACAAATAGATCATGTTTTAATGTAACATTCTTAACTGGTTCTTTTAAGTACCTAACAGAAATATTTTATAAGAAATAAGTAAAAATTTCAAACATTTATGAATTTCTTGAAATCTTGGATAGAAATTTATTAATGTGTTAAATGTAATGCATTTCTAACAGCATTTTGTCCTGTCTTATTTATACAAAGTTTTACAAGCAATGTTTCAGATTCAATAATCGATGATTACTTTTCAGTTGCGGAAAAATCTATGAAAGATAGAAAATTATCAGTACAAACGCTTGAGGAACTCTTTGCAGTAATTATGTTTGTCTTTTTCATAGTTTTTTTTGTATGTTTTGCTTTATATTTTATTAAATACTGATTGTTATTTGCTGGGATGTGTTTTTTTATGAATAAGTAATATGCCAATATTTTTGTAAAGTATGATGAGCTATTGGATTTGCTGTGTTTTGTTTTCAGCTTTAACATGAATTAAACACTTTTATCTTATTTGGTATTCTGTTACATGGTTTGGTGAAAGGAGTTTTAGCTTAGAGTTTCTTTATATTGTATACTGTATAGTAGATTTTGAAGCAAGAAATTTGAAAGGCACCTAAATAGGTTATTTGGAGATGTTATATATTATAGACGATGATGATGACCAACGTTAAACAACCTCAGAAAACGTATAACCACAGGAAATGATGATGATATTACTGCGATAACATTGTGACTTTGTGACAAATGGACGTTACATAAAGTTTATAATTAATGTTAATACTCCTTGCCTAAATACATTCTAAAATTATTATTTATAAATATACATTGAAAATACAAGTTTTTAACAGTCAAATTCATTATGTAATAGTCAAATTCATTATGTAATAAGCTCAGCTCAAGGCTCAAGCTTCTTTCCAAAGGCTCAACTAGATCAAAAATCTGCATCTAGAGCTTGCACACCTCTAGTATTTAATTTAGTCTTATTTCAGTAAAGAAAATGACATTTTGAGTAATATACAAGATTTGTGAATTTGAAGGTTTACACTTAACACAGAATTTCAAAACTAATCAGCTCCCCCACTATCAATTTAGTTGTTCGGTCATTACAGAAAACTACATTATTACATATTTTAGAAATTCAGGAAATGAATTATTATGAGGACTGTAAGCAGTGTCCCCCATTTATTCAACCATTAATGATGTGAAAAGTTGGTGGAAATGGAAAGTCTCTCATGAAGGCTGGCAACAGAGAAATAATTTGGATAACGTTTTCTTTAAAAAGTACAACTGAAAGGGAATTCCCAATGCCATTAAAATATTTTCCTGTAATAAAAACAAAAAATTCTGGCAGAGAACCTTTCTTTAGCAATTACTCAAAAATCTGAAAAATTATTCTCTGTATAAGTAAGTTACTAAATAGTAAATTAAATTAAACTAGTGTACCTGTTGCTCGGATTCGAGCAATTGCTAAGTATTACAGGTGTTATTTTAAAACGAATAACAGTCATAATTTTTTATCACTTTAAAAGATTCGACTCAGATTATGGAAATACTCATGATGTGCATAACAGATCGATATAATCAACATTTATTGTAAATATCTTATCATTTTTCAAAAGCTGATCTTGTTTTTTAGTGTTTTCTACAAATAGCCTTACTTATAGCCACATTAGATTGTCCATAATAACGATTAAAATTCTAAAAAAGACATTATTTCTATTTCTTCTCCTTGTTCTATGACTTTCCCATGTTTCCATAGTTTACAAATCGGCCCTTTCAATGATTAATAAGAAATGCAGCCCAGTGTTAATTCAGTTTTCTTTTTTAGTATATCAAATTATCCAGACTATCTCGCTTTTTTCCCCTTGTAATATTTATGCCAACCCAAATTCAAATCGTAAATATTTCATTTTAACCAAGTCAGTAAATGTTTGTAGCAAACTGTTAAATTAGCAAACTTATTTACTGTTTACAATTAACATATGTTCTTCTTCTCACTTTTAATTTCTGACAACAGCTGGAGTTTCATAACAATGTTTGTTTTCCATGTTAATCTTATGGAGAGATACAAAACTTTAAAGGGCCCCAGGGCCTCACTCTCTAATTATTTCCCTAAAAAGAAAGTGACCTGCACAACTTCACGTTACGCTCTTTCCAATGACACCAAAAACATGTCAATCGGCTCAGTAGTTTCGGAGGAGTAATTGTCACAAAAAACCTGTGATTTATAAATAAATTACTACAATTTAGAAAAGATCAATTTTGAAGAACCAATGTTTTCTGAAACCCACAGTAAAAATTGAAAATATTCTGCTTGTTTTAACACTTTTTGTTTCTTGTTTTAGTTTGGACAACTGGGACTGCTGTGATCATTCCTTAAAACCGTTTTTCGCACGAGACATAATTAATTTTTACCAAGTTGTTTGTGTACCATTCATTGTAATTTACTGTTAACCAGTGCAATATTGATTTTACTTACCTTTATGCATGTGTCAATGTTATATTTTATTACTATTAATATTATTTATTGCCAATGTTACAATTTATATACATGTACATTTATATATAATATATATACATATTATACTATTGAAAATAATAAGTAATTTGTAAATCTAATATATTCCAAAGGTATTTGATTGATAAAGTGTATTAACTTTAATGCAGAGTATTTATTATATATAAATATATATATACCTTTCCAACTTTCCTTTGACTACGGATAAAACTAGACATTCTATTGTAATGTTTACAATTAAATAACTTCTTGATCAGCATTGTACGTGTTATTAAATTTACGGAAAGTAAATAAAAGAAACGTCTTATAACACTTAAAACATATATTTACGCTTATACTGTTATTCACAAGACGGTAAATATACAAAAAAGATGGTAAGTGGTGATCAATTTCTATTGGACACTCCAATCATCATCAGACCCAATAGGCAAATTGTTTACAATTGTAGCTATTTTTTGGATTAAAATTAATTTAGTGAGTAGTTTACCGATAGAGTGCACTGATGTAGGCCTAAATTACTTTTAATTTGGCAACTGTTTAACCAAATCAAACTAAAGATCTTAGCATCTTTTATGTCACATATATATATTCTATCAAAGTAGGCTAACAAAAATTAGGGGGAAATAAATGTTGTTCTGTAGCACTCTGCCACTGGCTAATTCAACAATGGATGTTATGTTCTTCATTTTAGTGAATTTCCCTATAGGGAAGTAGCTATTACCGTAGGTGGCACGGTAAGACTTAGGCCCGGGACCAAAAATACCATTTGTTCAAATTTGTATATATGTGTGTGTATATATGATATATATATATATATATGTCCGTGAACGCGATAACTTGAGTAATTTTTGTCCGATTTTGATAAAATTTGGTTTAAATGTGTAAGGCTTGAATGAGCCTTGAACTTAAATGAACTTGAAAAGTTTAAATAATTAATTTATTTCATTTGGAATTATTTTACCTACCTTATTCTAAAAATAACAGGTAAATAACAACTATGTTGAACTATATAACAGTTTAATCATAAAAATGACCAGAACAAGACATATTCCCTCTCTTATTTACATAATATGCAATAAAATTTATACAAACATAAAGCCGTCTCGTAAATGTCGACTTGTGTAACAGATATTGTCATATAAAATTACTTATTTATGAGATAAAATTCAATCTTAAGCCCATACATGTCTACTCTATAGATATGGAATGCTTTGGTTTGGGGATAAAGGGGCTATTTTGTTATTTTATATATTACTAAAACGATTAAAAATTAAACTTAACTCTTTTCATACTGTACATAAAAATAAGATTCAACAAAAAAACCTTCTAACAATAACCTTTAGCCCTGTTATTACTTTCCGGAATTATGAGGTTAGGGCCTACTTGTAAAAAGTTGGTAAATCTAACGAAGATTCAAATCTTAAAAACACACGTTTCTACCCTTGACTGTGAATCCTTTTTAACAATTCAACACTCAACCTTCACAGATTTTCAAGCATTTAACTTCCATAAAAACATAACACAAGACCTGTCAAAATATATTTTGTGAGAAATTATTTTTTTTCAAAGGATTCAACTTGAGCTAAAAATTATAATTAAAATATAAGAATGCAAAAGCACCTGTACATTTATTTGTAACCTCTGTACGCTATGTGCTAATAAACATAATTTGATTTGTGAGTATCAAACAGTGCTACACAATCAGATAGTTACTTCTTTGTTTAAATTGATGTGAATAACAAAACAATGAAATTGTGTGTTGTGTAATGAGCAGGTACCTGTGCAAAAAGAAAAAGTCTACTTTACAATTGGGCTTGTTCAGTTCATGTCCTGAAATATGGGTGCCAGAATATAAAATATATGTGGGACATGCCTTAGGCACATATGCATGTTTTAATCTAATTAAAAATGAAAACAAACTTAATGTCATAATATAACTAACAAATCTTATGTACTATACACCGTTTACAAAATTGAGGGGGGCTTGAGGGGAAGTTCCCCCACTACTTTTTTGCTTAATATGTTGCAGCTGATTGACATTGGCAAACCTCAGCTGTTCAGCTGTTTTAAAGGTAAAATCAAGTGGAGGGGATAGATTTCTTCCCCTAAGAATGCCTACATTTTGTGAACAGAGTATATCTCAAATAATTAAAATTTTATTCCTCAGATAATGTTAACAATTTCATTTTTTTAAATTTTAGTTCTCCTTTGCAATTAACACGAACTATAAACATCGTAGTTAGCTATCAGGCGTTATATTCTGTATGTAAAATACTCTTTAACTTTGCTATATAAAATACTTTTCTTATCCTTACCCTATAAGGCTGCACATGTGATCAACTTTACATTTTTTACAAGTGGACTTGACACTATTTACACTACCTGAACAGTACAAAAATAAACTATGAGACAACCACAAAAACAAAAATAAAAATTGGTCTCAACAAAACTGATTTAAAGCTATTCTGTTTCCATCATATCAATTGTTATTATACATTTGGAATGTTAAGTTTTGATTGAATCGTTACAAACTATCATCCAGATCATTTTAAGAATTTAGATCTTATAAAATATAATTAACCTTTCAATTTTCCAGTGAATAAAATAAATTTGTCTTTTAAATAACCCAATTCTAAAAATACAAATATTGAATGCAATTAAAGTACAGATTATATATTTAGGTTTTTTCATCAATTAACAAATTATATACAGGGTGGAACGAAGTTATTGTAAAAAAATGTTGTGTTAAAAACTACTTAGTATTGGGGACAAAATGGCACTAATTTAGTTTTCCATACCCTCACAGGGAGGGAATAACAGACATATTAAGATTTTTTTCAAAATATTTGTATTTTCTTACATAAAATGGCCATAAGTGCACTAAACATTTTTAATATTTAAAACTAACTGTGTGCCCGTTCTACGCACAGGGATCTTATAGTAGTCAGTTGAAACCTTCTTATAAAAAGAACAGCAGTTGATTTGCATATTTTCAGATATGCTGGCAAAACTATTATATATAAACCTTCACAAATACAGTATCTGACAGTAAATAAAAACACTAGTTTATTATTGTATTACAAAACATAACATAATATCGATGTTAATCCTAATATATCCTTAATATTCTTATAATAAATCTCACAAGGATTCTAAAAATTACAATAAACCCTAATGCAGCTTTTGCCATATTATTTAAGCAAATACATGTTATTTTTTAAAGTAATGCGATTTTGGCCATTCCATGTTATTCAAGAGAAAATCTTAAATTTAAGAATGAATAAGACATCATTTTAAAGGTTATTAACTGGAGAAGTTTTAAGTTTTTAATATTTGACACTCTCTATAGTCCAGTTTAACATAGAAAAACTTATTTAAAAGTTTTGGCATTTTTCTCAAAATTCACAAATTCAAAATTCTGTTGCAGAATAAAGGCTTATATGTTGTTTCATCTCAATGATTCTGTACTATTACTAATCAAAATTTAATGAGGATTCTGAAAATGACAATAAAGTCTAAAAAAAACAATCTTTAATGCACTCATGGCCATTTAATGTAAGCAAATACAAATATTTTGAAAAAAATATCAATATGTCTGCTATTCCCTACCTGGGAGGGTTTGTAAATCTAAATTAGTGCCATTTTGTCACCAATACTGAGCAGTTTAACATAAAAATGTTAAACACCAACTTCATTACACCCTGTATTTATATTTTTCAATTGATATAATTTAACATAGGTCATATATTCATTTGAACTTGTTCTTGCCTTGCATAATGCAATAATTAGTTGTGAACTATACTTGTACTTGTAAAATCTTAGAAATGTAGTTATAACAGAAACATATTTTCAAAACTGAAACCAATAATAGCCAAACTTTGAATATATTAAAAACTAGAGTAAAATGCATAAACAATAATTTTTATCTATCAACTAACATGCATTGCAAGGTAACGTGAAAGTTATAATAACAAGCCTAAGTTGAATGTGTAATAAGGTTAAAACAAGTATGTGCATTGAACTAAACTAACGTCCTCAAGTGGAAAATTTGAGGCAGTAAATGTGAAATGATATTTATTTACATGCAATACTTATACTAGGTTTTAAAATATACTAATGAAGTATACATCATGAGCATAATAATAGTCTATTTTTTTCTAAAAAGCTAGACTTTGATTATGGTAGTTTGATAATTTTAAACACTCTTAGCAGATTCGTTAATAAACTTATCCAACAGTTTTAACATTGTGGTATTTAATATCCAAATCCTACTTTCCATGTAAATAAAAATCTTGTCATTATAAACCATTTATCAATAATAGTTTTATATGCTCATATTTGATTACAGTATTAAAACAGTAATTTGTAAAAGTGGGTCAATAACTGATTTTGTAGTGATGTGTCAAAACAGAATCCCAAATCTTAAAACCCCTAAAACTTTGAAAAAAATTTGGTTTCTAGACTTGACAAGTCACATCTTATTATCATTGCATTGTTAGATTTTCTATATACTGTTTTTAAAATTCAAAGCATATATCAGAGTCAGTTGTCAATTTCTTCAAGTTCATATTGCATAATAACTTTTTCTTATTACCTGTATTTTTAAACCTTGAACTGGTAAAAAAGTTTTGCATGAATGTTTTGAGATTCGGGATTCAATTTTTTTTAAATTTCGGTTTTGAGATTCAAAATGTCTGATTTCAACCATCACTAATTGTTTGTACTGAACCTAGTGTACAAAAATAGCTCAAGCTTAAAATGTAAAGATGTTACTTTTTACAGTATATAGCGTAACAGAAACAAATTCGTAAGTTCTATTTAGTGAGTACAGTTAATTTTATGTTTCATTTAATCATTAACAACAAATCCTATTGAATTGACTTTTTGGAGGATAAAACTTACATATTTTTGATACTCTACTTAATGTTTTTTATATTCTATGTTATGTCTTTTGATCAGTTGATTGAAAATAGTTTATATGAATTTAACTCGAGCAAGTTTGTGGTATGGAGTGGCTAACGGAAGATGTTGTTGAACTCAGAGAGTAAAAAGTCAATGACAAAGTTTTGCTGCATTAAGTCGAAAGCCATGTTCTTGGACTCTTGTTCGGGCCACATCAGCGTTGGACCAAACACAATCGCTATGTTGGGAATGTGCATCCGATTGAACTCTTGATACTTGGTTACTCTGTAACATATGCAACACTTTCAGGTAAAGTGAAGTAGCAGTTATCTGTGGAACTAACTAATGTACACAAAGAACTTTGCTGCACTGAAGAAAAATAAGTTTACTTGTAAACAAAGGGAAACAAAGTGCAGCAGGGACACTGTCGAGGTATTGTATGCTTTTATGTTTGATTTGCTTTGTTAAACCTTAGGTCATCTAAGTGATAAACTTTACAAGAAAAAAATTAGGAGGGGATCATTGGAGTACGCAAGTACGATAGTTAGACACGAAGTATTAAGTCCAGCTTTGGTACAATATTATTAAAAGAGTAAGTAATACATAAAACACAAAATAAACACAAATATATTACCTTAATAAATGTTGAAGTAAATACTTGAGTGTATCATGGTTGCAGGTAGGCAATGATTTCACAATTTCTCTGAACTCCTTGATCTTCTCGTTGTAGTTGGAATTTGCTGAAACAGATTGACAAGTTTTTTCTTTCAAAACCACCAACAAAAAGTCGTCAACTATATATTACCTATTAAACTGTACATAGCTTTTATGTCCAATGGTAAACTTATGAAGCTTAGTTTGCATAGAACAATTAATACAACAAGCTCGTCGGAATGACTCTGCGGTCACGGCGCGATTGTCGGAATGACTCCGCGGTCACGGCGCGATTGTCGGAATGACTTCGCCTCTTGCGTTCGCGGAACTATCATAAACATCTCCCGCGATAGCAACGTCATCGTCGCTCACGAAGCGGCAAAATCGCCGACGATCGGATCAAAACCCATCCCGAAAAATTTCCGAATCAAATGTAATCCCGTCCCAAAAATCAGGAATATTTTTTCCCAAAATTTCGGGACCCGTCCCATCCCTACTTTTTGTAATACCTAAAATGTTATATGGAAATAATAAAAACTTTAACTAAATCAATAAAATTACAAGAGAGTAGCAAGCCCACACCCTGTACAGTATCGGAAGGGCCGACACAGAAACAAAGCCCAAAAATATTTGAAGCAACAGTTGTACAAAACGTTGCAATCGACTACAATGTTCCTTGTGCAAGGCTCAGCTCACATTGAAGCAAGGTTGTGGAGAAGGACGACATTTCCCGCCCCACACCCGTAGTGCCAGTACCGCAGAGCGAGGATTCCCGGCCCTCGCACTGAACATGTTCAATTCAATTCAATTCAAAGATACTTTATTCACATATATACAAAAGTATACATGAATGGCGTTCAGAACAATACATCATATCGCCTAATAACTAGATAGAAAATTGATACATTATACATATAAAATAAATATTTATTTAAATAACCTTACACACTAAAAAATTCCTCAAAACTGTATAGCGCTTTGGCCACAAGAAATCTTTTTAATTTCCTTTCAAAACATTTCAAACTCTTTTCAGATTTTATGATTTCAGGAAGGTAGTTATAGTATTTTATCCCAGAAACAGTTGGATTTTTGTTTGAAATTGCTTTTTTAGAAACATTAATTTGAAAATTTTCTCGATTTCTTGTATTATATGTGTGAACATTTCGTTGTCTTGGCAAAGTCTCTTCATTATTTTTTACATGTAATACTGTTCTATAAATATAAAGACTAAAGACAGTCATAATTTTCAGATTACAAAAATGATCTCTACAATGATCCTAATCAGGAAGCTTAAGCATAGTCCTAATTGCGTAGGATTCTTTGTAGATTAATAATTATTGATGTTGCACCATAAAGCTCTATACCATAAAGAATGTGTGAGTGAATTAACGAATAATAAACTGATTTCAATGAGTCCAAATTACAAAAAGGGGCCAGTCTTCTCAATGCAAAATTGCCTGAATTAATTTTAAAACATACTTTCTCAACATGTTTTGTCCAGTTAAGAGTGTGATCTAATTGTAGGCCCAAAAAAGTAGTATTATCAGAAAGTTTAAGCTGAGCTCTATCCAAATGATTTAATTTAGAAATATCTTTTTTATTCAATAGTAAGTTAAGATTACATAGTTCATCATTAACTTGGTCAATTGCTTGTTGTGTTAATAAGCAATAAAGAACAGCAATAATATCACTGCAGTACTGGAAGAACTTGATTGTTTACGTCACAATTTAAGTCAACACACAAGTGGCCGTCTGAACCATGCAAAGTCCAAACCAAATGGATCTAAAGACAGAATATATCTAATGTATTGTATGGACATCTTTGAATGTTCTTACAAAACAAATGCAATGGATATATAAATAAAATAACTGCTACTATGGACAAGTGTTTTCAGAATGTATCCTTTTTATCAATAAATCCTATCAATTGGATTTAATTACTCCACAAATCAACCAGATACATACTACTTGCTCTCAGTGCTTTGTCAAAAAACTTGAATGGTATGAGAGGTTGTTTGAGTTCTCTGAAGAATAGTTTGAGAGTTCCTGACAGAACATGTACATCTTCTTCTTGGTCGAGCAGGGAGTAAATGTTCTGGTCAACCTGCAACATTACAGATGAGTTATCAAATTGTGTTTAAAGGCAGAGTAATATTGAAAAGTCTTGCATTGTATCCAAAGAAAGTAAAAGAAAAACTCTGTTAGTGTGTTTTTTCTGTACAACACAAAAGCTACTGAAGATACATTTATGAAATTTTGCAAAAGCCAGACCATAAACTTGAACCGTGCCGGATACACCTCAAGGCTGACTCGGCAGCGGCCTAGGGATGAGAAACGCGGTGTTTTCTCCAAAAACCATTTTTTAGAACAAATATTTAACAATTGCTACAATTTTGGGTGATGATAATAATGTACCCTATGATAATAATATAGGATGTTAATGATTTTGCCTCGATCGGGAGAAGTTCTGCCTTGGGAGCGGGGGTCGCCCAGGTGAATTTGGCCTGGGATTGTAAGTATCCTCAATTTTGCACTAAACTAAAACAACACGTGGGCTTAATTATTCCTACCCTTAGAATTCCATCAGGCTACACCCGCTGGAAACTAGTTTTATTACCTAGCATCCTTGATAAAATTAAAGTTCATGGAATAATAATAGATACCCAATAAAAATCACTATACTTAATACTCTGCATATCCTCTGCTGAATAAGTTAATATATCAAGACGAAATATCAGTGTTAGGCCCCTTTTATTCACCACGGTTGCCCGCCAGCGGGCACCCACCGTGGTTTACTAAATGCATTGCCGTAAATGGGTGCTTTAATTAAAAAAGGAGCGGTCTCAGAAGTTGCAGCTAGCCGTGGAGGTTTGTAAATTCTCACCCGCTTGCACTTAGAAACCGCCGGCGGGTAGCGGTTCGTATATGCATTGTGTTATATGGGATCGTTTAATCAATGTGGGAGCCCGCCGTCGCTCTCGCATTGCTACCAACCCAAGTCACCAGTGTCACTCACTACACGTGGTCTAGTCATTTGGTAGTGTACATAGCTGAATATCTCACCGTTAAAAATTACTTCATGTCATGTTACGGATATATATTCTGAAAGATTTTGTCTGAAATTATCTACAGTAAATAAAATTTAGATTGAACACCACTCTGGCACTATTTGAAACTTTTACAAAGGATTTATTTTGCTAGAGTGTGTTTTTAACTAGATTTCAGGCTTAAATAGCAGCCGTTGAAGTGAATCGATGACAGTTCTCAGTTGTAAACCAACTCTATTTGTGTTAGACTGGTTAGATTGTTAGATTGAAGGATTATACATTATAAAAAAACAAAGGTTTTAAAAAACAAGGATTGGCAGCACTGTTACACTATCCACGTGACAGCGGTCGATCACAGGTTACACATTGGTGCAGAGGTCGTCCACGGCGGGTGCCCGCTGGCGGACAACCGCAGTGAATAAAAGGAGCCTCATGTTTTGTCACATTTTGTGGTGTATCTATTATCTATTAAACTTTGATTGTCTCAGGTAAGGCCAGGGACACACTTACCGCCCTTACCAGCAAAATTGATTGAATGTCAGAACACACTGTCCCAGCAAAAACTATTTTGCCGGCGACAATAAATAGAGTGCAATTAACTCTGAATCAGTCGTGTCTTTAAAATGGTACTGTCAACACATAAGAAATTGACTTTGCTGTATTTGCTCTACCACAGGAGAAAGTGGAAACACCGCCGGAGTATTTGGGTTCATCCCATTATAGAACAATGGCAGCTTCATGGGGCATTTTATACTTATTCATTCAGCCCAGGAATGACCAACATAAGTTTCTTAATTATTTCCGTATGTCCATGACTACATTCAACGAGCTTTTCTTTGAGATAAGAGTTAAAAATAAAATACAGGGACATGACACTAATATGAGAAACTGGATTTATCTACAAGAGATGCTATCAGAAACATTAAAGTAATAAAACTTCACAGTTTACAGCAACCAATTACCTCAATCATCATTTGACATAAATTATTTGTCGAGAAGTAGCAGGGGCAGTTCAGGCTGTTTCGCCGGGAACGTGTGTTGATCTCTATTTTTAGTACAATGCCCTACTACCTGATGGGCCAGCGAAACAGCCGGTCCTGCGAAGTAGAGAATATCCGGTGGTTTTGTCGGAGCATTTTCCTACCGGACTGGCTGTTTTGCCGGACCGGGGTAGTGTATCCTTCCCCATCCCTTCCTGTTTATCTAAACTTTCTCCAGCTCCGCCGAACCCGGCGTCTGGCAATTTTGCCGGTAAGTGTGACCTTGGCCAAAAAATGTTTGATTTTGACTGACCTGATATCTGATCTTCTGTACTTGTGAGATGTTCCCAGACACCCGGTATAGTCCGTCAGTCTTCATGTTCTCTAGGTTGCGCTCCACACAGCGGACACAGTGCTGTACAAACATTGGCACTCTGGGCGGCTCAGCAGGACACACTTGCTCCAACAAACAGCCAAACACCGGCTCATCTACAACCAGACAGTACAATAAACTGATAACTCAATCTTTATCTTAGCTCTTCAATCACATTTGGAGTTTGAATTTGTTTATATTTTTCAATAAAAATATTACAAAACTAAATTTAATCGGATCATTTGAGCTACCGGTATTCAGCGCAAAAAGTGATAGACTTTTAACTCAAGCAAAAAGTTCTTATATGCTAATGAAAGTCAATGGCATACAACTTCTTCATAGACTAGCAAGGGTTATACAACAGGTAATCTTGATCTTTTTCTGCTGATAGAATTTCGGGACAGGTTTTAAGGAACGTTTAGAGTAGTGATGGGCGGATCCAAGAAAATGTCGGTACCGGATCCGGATCCATATAGGTTTTTATTCTTTTTTTCCAAGGGCGCGTTTTTTTAATAACTCATATGGCTAGGCAATTTCACAGTATTTATTGATGTCAAAAATGCATATGGCTAGGTAATGTGACAGTATGTCGACGTCAATAACTCATATGAAAATGAAAATTTGACATTATTTTGTAATTTTAAAATTGATTTTCCACTACATGGTAAGTTTTTAATAGTTTCAACAAAACCATGAATTTATGATAAGATTTTAATTTTTTTACTGTTTATGTTTACAACAGTAAATTAGTTTTCTTTTATATTTACAGTATATATATATATTATAAATACCTTAAATTATTGTAGTAAATAAGTACAACTGAGCACCCTAAATATTATATTTTTAATATAATATTCATTATTATATTAAAAAATATAATATTCAGGGTGCTCAGTTGTACTTATTTACTACAATAATTTAATTTATCAGCAGCCCTATAACGTGAACACCTAAATTAAAATATAAATACCTGTATTAAGGACGCAGATGTATTTGTGTACCTATGTAGAAATTTATGCTGCAAGAATTTGGAATTCCTTGTCTATTCATCCAGGTAGAATCTACTATATTTTCAACAACTATCTACTAAAGACTAGGAAAAAAGGATGGAAACTGACCACCAAAAGAATATTTTAAACTGAAAAAATGTGTTTGTAACTCAGGTTTCATAGCCTATTGGTTGACCTGTTTATAAACTAAAACTTTGAAGAAAGGCTTAAGGCCAATCCTGCGTTGATGTATGTACAAATCAACCAATAGGTGGAGATTGAGGCTATTTAAACTTACTTCACTGCTAGGAAGGAAAAATTAACTTCTAAATGCAATGCCAATATAATGTATGTCATGAATGTTGTGAGTGCTAAAGCATTAGCATTGGCATGCTGCTTGTAGTTGTGCAAGGGATGCAATATAATTAGGCTGTAACAGTTTTATGGGAGGTCCATTACATAGTTTATCACTGGATTATTAGAAATAGGCTATGACAGTACTGTAGTGAAGAAATACATCAAACCAATAAAAATTGGGAAAACTATATAACATATTAACTGTAAATATACTTTTTTAGACATATCACTCACCTTTCCAAATACCCTTTTTCACTAGAACATCCACAGATGGCCTTCTGTGGAAGAACTTTTTTAAACGTTCTCGTATTTTAGTTTGCTTTTCCGCAACATTGGACAAATCTTCTATGCTTGCACTTTTGTTTTTCACTGGAAGTATTCTTTAAGTTAACATTTTGTAAAACATACATATCTATGATGTTATGAGTCAATGATGTAATATAGAATACGGTGAAGTTTTAAAGAATTTTGATGGGATAGCTGGCTTACCAGAGTAGTAGAGAGACTATCCTGGCAAAATAAAAACAAAAACTTTCACTGTAACTGGCAGCATTTTCAACCATGGATGGTTTAAGTTAGTAATAAATTAGGGATAGACAAGACTATGGATTTTAAGTTCGAGATGAGATTCTTTTTTCTCATCATGATTCGAGACAAGATTATAGATCTCACAACTATCAGGAATACAGGAGCACGTTTTTGTTTCGTTTACTTAGTGAAGGCGTTCTTAATAATTAATCTTATCTCCAAAAAGTCTTGGAACAAAGCAGCAAAGTCAATCTCACCGGATCTGAGATATTTCAAACTTGCAGATTTCTTGAAAATTTGAGACTTGTCTATCCCTAGAATAAAGAAATGATGGATGCTTTCCATCAAGGTAAGCCTGCTATCTCAACATGAAAATTCTTAATGTCTATCTAATTAGTTGTGGATGTTGCAGTTAAGCTCAGGAAAATGGAAAAATAATTGAATGGTGAGAGTGCTTTGGCACATAGTGATCATGCAGTTTCATAGCAGAAAACAACTATACCTATGTAGGGTGGTTTGTTAAATTTATTACATTTCAAAGCCACTGTCTCAGATCTACTCTAAGGTAGCTAAAGTTGTCTACCCTGGTAAAAATTTAGTCCCTTCAGAGTATTCATTTTGACTTGTTTACAAACTTACTCCAAAAGATTTTGGTTAGCAATTCTGCTAGACATTTAACACATTGAGTGCAGGGCGCCGAACGCACGCCCAGGCTGGCCCAGTCACCTGTGCCCGGCCAGGTCCCACTGAAATGAATCAGTCAGTGTGGTGCAACCTTGTGGAAAGTACTTGAGTTATTGTATGTGCGTTGCTAGCGTTACATAACTTATACTGTGTGTGTTTCGCCCGCCGTTCCCGTGGACCGGTGCCAGTCTCCCGAGACTGGTAAAGTCCCACTTACACAATTTATTGACTTTGGACATTTATTGACATATTTTGTTTGTGTTTTTGCTTTTCATATGACACAAAAATATCCTACTAATATTATAAATTTGAAAGTTTGTGTGTTTGTTGGTATGTTTTTTTGTTACTTTGAAGTTCAATCACGGATTAACTACTGGACGGATTGGGCTGACGATGATAGCTCACATTCCTGATTAACATATAGGCATATTGTTATCTCAAAGATCCTTTCGGGCTCCACCCCAGTGGCTCTGTAGTTCCCAATGTTAACCTTATCCTACTAATATTATAAATTTGAAAGTTTGTTTGTTTGTTGGTATGTTTTTTTGTTGCTTTGAAGTTCAATCACGGATTAACTACTGGACGGATTGGGCTGAAGATGATAGCTCACATTCCTGATTAACATATAGGCATATTCTTATCTTAAAGATCCTTTCGGGCTCCACCCCAGTGGCTCTGTAGTTCCCAATGTTAACCTTATGAGTATTGAGTATTCATATTTAAAGGGAATTAAAAAGTTTAGTCAGCTGTTTCAACTAAAATAGTTGGTTCTATGATATGCAAAAGCATTAAAAGTTATAAGATTTACCAACAGGGTGCAGCACTATTTTTTTTCATTTATTAAAACAGCTAATTTGATCCATAAACAAAAAGAGTTTAATATAGACTGTCAGCCATGCTACGGTTACCATAGTTCTGGCACACACCACTTGGAGCGCCATGTAGCTACGTAGCGCGTACGCCGTAACTACATGGTGCTACCAGCGGTGTGCGCCAGAACCTATGGTAAACGCAGCACAGCTGACGGTCTATATTTAATTCTTTTTGTCTATGTTTGAACTAAGCAGCAACAGAAAACTGTGATACACAATGAGAACTGTCAAAGTAGGATTGTTTACAGTTATGTTTGTTTTTAATTTTATGAATAATTTGAGATATTTTACAAATCTTTAATAATTTATTTTTCTCTATTGCTTAGGTGAAGTGGTAGAACATTATGGCTATGGTAGTGTGTAATACTATAGTATACCATACATTTAAAGAAGCAAATTTTATAAAACTGTGTCCTCCTCCATTGCTAATGCAAAGCTTGAGTATAACTGCAATAAGCATTTTATACTTATATGCCAATGACATACAATGGACGGGTACTCTGCTAGTATTTTATAGTTTATTATTTTAGTGTATGTGCCTTTTAATTAAGATGGACCCCAATAGCAAATTGTTATCAGCAGTTACATGATTCACTGTTATTGAAATAAAAAATGGTTGGGAGGAAGGGGCTGTATATAATTGTAAATATTAGTTATAGTGCTATTTAGGTTCAGTGTGAAAAACAGTGTTTTTGAGACAAATATTGGAGTATTTTCGTCACAGTTCCCACAAGCGTCATTGCGTGGGCCAGGTAATCGGTGACCGACGATTTTGGACGCCGTTTTTAATTTATAGGGAAACGACTTTAAAACACTATTTCTGACTTGGATCTTCACTTCTGGCATCAAAAAATAAGATTTTTTTGTAAAAAAATGCAGGTTCTCAGGAAGGACCCACTGATATATTTACCGCACTCAATGTGTTAAAAAACATATCTTGACACTTGGAAACCGCTTGTGTTGTGTAAAATAGATCATATCTTATAAATATTTTTCATGAGCAGCACATCTGAATTATTAATTATTAAATTAAGCTAGTGCCAAAGCTAATGTTATTCAAAGAATGATCCTCAACATTTTGACGTTCATCAGTGCTAGAACATTCCCCTTTTTATTAAAAGTTTGAGAAGAGCTCAAGGAGAACTAAGTTTACTTACGTTTCATCGATTTTGAGCGACCAATCCGTGGGCCTGGTTTATTCTCTTCTAATGGACTTTCAGGTTTCGTTCTGATTCCTTTATTTTCTATTCCCAATGGCTGGAACAACAAAGAAAAGTCACTTTGATGTATTGCTAATAGTAGTTATAAAATAATGTTAAGTTTTTGGTCTCCAGATACAGACCATACAGACGGATGCAGATGTCTCCGTTTGCATCTATAAAAAATGTTTGGATATCACCTTAAAGTAACCCTAAGTTGTTGTGGTGGCAAATAGCTTTGGTTCTTAAGAGGAACAGTCTTAAGGCTGTCCAAGGAGTAAAAAAAATCACTTAATTTGAAGATCTTTACATGTTTCAGAAAACAAACAGACATGGACACAACTAGACTAGACTAGACTTTAAGTTTCACCTACTTGCATTGCTCTTGTACTTACTTAACAATATTCAGATTAAGTGATTTTCTTTATCCAAACTTAAGTTTCTATACTAGATAATTAAAGAAGTGGTCCTTTTCTCCTCAGTTTTTGTATGTGAACAGTGAAACGACCACTCTACATTATGTGAATGACTCAACCTGTCCAAAATGTTATTGGTTGTTTACACACACAATATTACTGACATTGTTATTGCAGTAGTTGTACTACACTGGGTTATTACCAAGTTATTACTTTTGGCAGGTCGATTTTCAGCGGCATAGAAGTACCAAGCAAGACACCCTCATCTACCGGCTCTGGAATGAGATCTGGGAACAGGAGACATGAGGAAGCTGGACTAGGCGACTAATCCAGCATGTCAAACCTTGGATTAAATATTGGCAATGCGGAGAGGTGGTGATCTCACCCAGTTTCTGACAGGTCACGGCAATTTTTGGTTGTATCTGTTCAGGATGAGCAAGGCTGTCTCACCTAATTTTACTTACTGCCTGGGTACCTCTGACGATGCAGAACATCATTTTAATGTTAACACGTTAGGAAAGGCCCCGCCTGGAGGCTCAACACCATGTAGGACTACTGTCACTGGGGCAATTGGACCTGTTTATGACAGTCAGGGTATTCCCTGCGCAAATACGATCAACCTTGACAGTAATGTGGTCTAGGTCATAAGAAACTGTAATGTAAGAAGCGGCACGGACCCTTAGGGCTTAGGTGACACATTGACCTGACCTGAAGAAAAGTGTCAAACAATAAACAATCTCAGCTCTGTTTCCAACCAAGTAGAGGGGATATTTAGTGAGTATTCTGACCAATTCAGTAGTCTCACTCTCACACTACATGCTGGCCACTTGTGAGTGTAAAAAATGCCCCCCCACCCATGAAAAAATAAAATTACCAATTTGTTGATGATTTTCTGTATGGCTGCAAGCCACTGTTGTGATGAGGTAGCACAGTCACACTGTATCAGCACCTGCAGACCCAGCACTGTACTCAGCATGTAGACATTCTTGCGACTTGACACTTTGTCTCCAGCGTCTATTTTGGCTCCGTTCAGATCCACACTCAGCTCCGGCCCTCCCTTGCCGTTCATCTACAACAAGTTAAGGCAACCTTTAAGCCATCCAATACATAACCTTATTTCAGTAAAACACGGTTTTGTAATGGTTTCTTGATAAGTAATAATAATACTGTGTTGCAATTTTATTTTGATCACTGAGATGATGTATTTTTCTCGCTCAATCTTTGAAGAGTCTTTCTGAAATCGTGATATTACTGTGGGAAAAAAACCTGTGTTGGCTCAGCTAAAAAATCGATCCACTTGTAAATCTTCCGTATAAATTACCTGACCCATAATTGGTCTAAAATTATTTCCAGCCTGAACCAATCTTTTTGATCCCCAATAACCCAAGTACAGAATTATTCCATAATATTCAGGAGTTATTTTTTGTCATCTGTCCTCCATATTTAAAATACAAATAAACTGTAAAAAGGAAACGTTGAAAAATATAAAACTTTTTTGATTTACTTTATGTGGCAGTATATGAAATAAATCTTAGGTATAAATGGTTCGGAAATGATCTAACCTATGTTTTGGAGAGCAATACTATTTTATGGCTGTCTTATATTTTTAGAGAAACAGCCATCTATTAGAAAAGAAAAGCAAAATTATTTAATTTTGTTTTGCAATCAAACTGTCGAGCAACAGTTTAACATAGTATACTGACAAACAAGTATAGCCAGCCACTGTTACCCACTGTTTCAAAGGTACACATCACCTTTTTTTAGGGCTTTAGGTTGAAAATCTGGAGTATGGGAAAGTAAAACGAATGGAAACGAATAGCTTAAGGGAGAATACAAACAAGTACAACACGGTAGGGGTAGCAGAAATCAGCTATTCTGTGGGTTCAGAGCAAAATTAGCTGCTTCTTAAGATAACTGTAAAACTTTGTATAAATATTGAAACAGCAACGACTTGGACTAACCATGGAGGGGAATCCTTTGTTGTCTTTGAAGAACAGCAGCAAAAGCTCAGTGAGAACAGCGTATGTGGAAGTCCAGTTTTTACGCACTCTCTTGCCGTTCTCTGTTATCTTAGTCTTGTTTAGAGCGCCTTCTTTGATAACAAACTGAAAAACATACAAAGAGTCAGAATGTAAATCATTATCACGCCTATAACATATCTGTTTTACGTATCTGCATTATGTATCTGTTTTACACTACAAGCATGATACGTAAAGCAAAATCTATAGTTTCACAAAAAAACTATCAAAATCTGTAATTTTCCCTTTCTATCTTCTTCATCAAACAAAAGTTAGAACGTCTTTAAAACAAATATTTGGTGGACACACACACGCAGTTAGCATAATTAAATAGTAGGAAAATGCCTGACTTGAGGTGCAAGACCAAGAATCCACCCATATCGTCAACTTGCACCCGAGCTGTTGTAAAGAAAAAAAGAGAAATTCTTCACTTATATTCAAAATATACTCTTTACTTAATTGATCATTCCATCAAGCAAAATCACCTCACACCTTTATGTAATACAATTTAGGTATTTCATACAGGTGTGAGTATAACAAAAAGTTGCCCCCTGGTGGGGTTTTAATGAATTTAATTTAATTTTAATTGAACTACTGAGGACGTTACAATCACAGAGCTACGCAGTGGAGTTAAAGATGTTAAGTGTGGGCCCTGTAATTAAACATCCCAGAAGTCCGATTTATGGACCGTGAGAGGTCTGATGTGTTGTCCTCCTTCACACCTTCTTCAGCTTAATTCTAACACTTCTTAAAACTAATGGATGTGTTTATTTGAACACTCTATGAATTGAAATGTCAGTTCAGATGAAAGATTGTGATGTGAATTGTTTTCTTTGTAAAACTGTAATACTGCAAATAATAACATATTAAAATATTGATTGAAAATATTTATGAAACTGTTTGTTCAGAAACTATTAATCAAAGTATGACTTCAAGATGTTTGTATACACTGGATTTCGGTTAAGCCGATTATTCATGAATTCACCAACTTGATATTAAAAAATGTGATCATCAACACTCATTGTGTATACTTTGTATACTTCTTCAGTTAAACCAATACTCTTAAATTTACCAGTATAATATTAATAATATAATACAAAACACAGGATAATGATAAGATGATGATTTGTAAAAATGCTATGTAATGAGTTGAATTGAGCTGTGATACAAGTAACAGATATAAACAATGTAATAATCTTTTTTGTGCACAATTTAATAATATTTTGAAAGAGAGCGAGAGAGTTGATTGCAAGTTAAATTTGGTGGTTTGCCACATTCTAAAACTGCAGAGTCTCGGGAAAACCTAGCCTTGACGATTTTATTTATTTAGTTTAGGCCACCAGACTCCCCAAGGATGTTCGTATATATCAAACTGGCCAGTTTACAATTTAATCAAACAGGGACTATTATGTAGTTTGTGATCTACATCACTCCTTGCTGATCAATGCAACGGGGCCAATCGACCACTGAGTCGATTAATTGATAATTTTTATTTAGTATTTAATGTTTATGAATTTAATGGGAGTCTATCCTCATGACCTTTTGTCAACCCTAGCCTTCGACCGAGCACTCTGTTACCCCCATTTACGTTACACAATCAAACTCTCACTATTTAAAAATGTAACACTCTATTCAAAATTATTACCTTATATGAGATACAAAACGTTATAAATAATAATACTGATGATGATAGAATTTGACCTTTGCATAGAACACAAAATAATAATATCACAGACAATCATTGTTCTTAAAAATAATAGACCATCTCAATTTAATTTAATAAATAATTTTCAATTGACTATAATTACTAATGTAACTTAAATTCTTTGCATAACGTGATAAAATTCAATTAAACATTTTTCATCCTGAATTGCGACCATGTGCTCAAGGTATACCAAATGAAACATGAAATTTTCAGACCAGCTATGACATGATTTCTGACTTGTAAAGCTAGTGGAACATGTGAAAAAAATGGCAGATTGGCAAGACTATTTTAATACTAAAACACAAATAACACAAACATTTACTTACGTACACATGTCGACACATACACATTCATTCCGACGAAGATTCACGCGTACCGAACATTTAAAAACTGACTCGTGGTAATTTGTGACTTTTTGTCTGACCGAGCGGAACATCACGACACGGTTTTTTCTGGTGTAGGACTTATTAATTCTTGTTTTTTCGAGCTGGCGTTTAATGATTCAATTGAAAATACCTTCACGACGACCCGCTATTCGCTAGAAACTGACATTTGCTATCGATATGATGCATGTACGAATTTTCATCACGAACGCGAACAATCAATCCGGCATCTCAACTGTCTCGACTTAATACTAATAAAACACACCCCCAAATGCAATTCGGCGAAATTTTGACAATTGCGATCGTTTGATGCACGTACAATTTCCGCCCGAACGCTAATTTCCGAGCTACGAATTAAGATATTAATAAATTCGTCCTACACCAGCGACAAAACGCGACTTCACATGTTGACTACGCGATTACTGAGCCACGAGTGACGACGAGACGTTTGCACGCGACACGGTTCGAGTGTAGTATTCCTCCGCGTTACGTCATGTTGGACTGACTTGTCCATTGCCTGGCGCGGATTTTAAATCTTTGAATTTAAAATCGGCACACTGTTCACCTTCTATTGGAGGTATTTACATCGGTATTTATCGCCCACCCAGCTCTCCCATAAATAGGTCAACTGCTCATGAGTTGCACACAAGAAATTAGGGAGATGTCAACGTTGAGACAATGCCTTAGTTTGCTAAGACATTAATGAGACTTAAATGTCCTCCACACAAACAGTACTGGTAAATCAATTACCTTTATAGATATATTTAAAAAAAAAATGGCAAATTAATTTATTTTATTCTGAGCTTATAATATTTCTCTAAAAAAACTTTAACTTCCCTGTAGCAACAAAGCTAAGCACTCGTCATACCTAATGTTTTTTAAAAAAGGGAATAAATCTGACAAGTTTAAGGAAATATGTTATTAAAAAACCAATCAGACAAATGCAAATTTGCTTAGTTTGCAGGTTTGCTGCTGCGGGGACATTTTTGTATGGTTCATGGGGTTCAATTATGGTACTGTAGATCGCCAATATATCGGCCTTTGTGACTCAAAAGGTTAAAACTGTTAAGAGGAATACCAACCATGGTTCCACCCAGAAGCTGAGGCCAATGCATTGAAAAGTTTGAAAGTGATGTGGACTCTTCATGTTGACTGTAACAAAATATAATTTCATCAAATCAGTTCTAAATAGATAAGTGAAATATATATTTACTTGAGGAGTAACCTTTTCTTTTGAAGTATACTTCCATGATATACTAAGTTATATTCAGTAGCAAATTTTAAAATTTTCAAATAATACTCAGCATCTGAAAGATTTATGACTGGGATTATAGTCCTTGCCAATTTTCCTTGAGGCAGCCCAAATTGACCTGCAAGGCCATTAGCGGCTGGTACCGCATGACCCTTTTACAATCCTATTAGCGATGCTTCGTTGGATGCCCTAGTTCAACATTAACATTGATTAGCTGTTACCCACGTAATGGCTTACACCCACGTAATTGCATGGGCTTCACCCCGTTTTAATTCATAAGTATTAATAAAATTATTGATAGGTTAAGTTAAGCTGAAATAAACAAAACAGAATATAGAAATACAAACAAAAAGTACACCGGATTTTAATAAGGAAATAAATTTAAAGAATGACTTACAAATATGGACAGCTGAGGTTTTTTAACATTATGTATAAGGAAAGTTCCCTTTGGAAAGCAATAACGACCTTAAGGGGCGATTTGAAATAATGAATAGTTTTGCGCAAGGTTTCTCGTCATGACGAACATTTTAAGTATAAGGTTTATGGGGGTGTGACTTTTAGTTTTCTCAAAAGCTCATGGGTACTTTTGGCTTTATATATAGATAAAATTATAATCTGATATATTGATTTACTCGTTCATATTATTAATAGCATAAATCTAACAAACATTTCTGTTTTTGTACCATCTAAAACGGTCAGGTTTTATTGTTTTTGAGCTATTAACAAAATAACAAGTAACAAACCGTAAACACGGCCATTTCAGATGGGATAGAAACAAATATGTTTGTTTAATCGATGTCATTAACGTAAACGAGCACATTAACACATCAGATTTATTAATGTTAATATTGAACTACGGTGTTAACGGAAGCGTCGCTAATCGTATTGTGAAAGGGTTGTGCGAAACCAGTCGGTAATGACCCTGCAGGTCAGTTTGGGCTGCCTAAGTTATAGTACAAATAGAAAACAGTCCCATTTTTTTTAATGTAGTAAAGATTTTGTTAACACATTAGCCTACACATTTTATTACGTTTTAACCAAAACTAAATTAAATTCTTTAAAACTATTTCAAACAAAAACACGATGTCTGAATTTGTTTTATTCTTGAATCAAGGAATTTTTAAAATATATTTATGATTTTACTGATGATTTTTCTTTCTTTACACAACAATTCTGGCAAGGCTTTTAATTCTCTCCATATAAAGATTTTGAATTACATAAGAGGTACTCATTTGGGTAGTACTTCTAGTATGGACGAGGATACCTACATTTTTATTAACAATCTGTTGAATTGGTTTAACAGGATCCTTTGAATATAAAAAAAACATTTCATTGTAATGCTTCTCAAATTTAAATTATTTCCAAACATGATTTGTATTATAATGACATCTCGTACACTCAGTAAGAACCTTCCTCATTGTTTGAATTTTGTTAAAATAAATGACAAAACCAAATAGAAACAATTAAATAATGTAAATTAATTATTACTTTAATCATATTCACTATCGTAAAACAAGTGTCCAATAAGGTAGCCTAACCTAGCCTTTCCTCCTCTCAAACTAATCCATACGTTTAAAAACGTTTTTATTAGCTCGCTTTCTTGTTTGTTCGGTACAAATTTTGCAATCGATTTTAAACCTTCCCGATGAGCTAGACACTTGAAACTTGAACATAGCTCACAAATGGATGACAATGCTATATTAAATCATTTTATTTTTATATTTCCCTTGGGCTACGCCCCATGGGCTTCCAAATTTTTAATGTTTTCACTTTGAATGAATGTTTAAATATATCAATTGAAGTCAGCTGTAAATACTTTAATTTGACAGTTTGTTCAAAGATCAGAGGTTTAATACAGGTTCTGCTTCCGAGAGATTCTAAGGTTTTATGATTATGAGAATAGTAGCAACAACATGTGATTACAGTTAAAAAGGATTGGTTATTATTGGTTATCCGATAACTAGCCATAAAAATAGATTTAACATATTTACACATTAAAGACTAAAAAGTAAAAAAATAATAAAAAAAAACTTTAAAATATACCACAATCATTTTATGTGTTTAAAAAAGTAGGCCTAGTATTTTTAAAAGGTTTTTTTAAATTTTAAATTATTTAAGTACAAACCACTTTACCTGGTTGCCAATACCATCGACTTTGCTTTTAAACTTCTGCTTTGATTTTTTTCAGCAATGTGAGCACTTGAGATGGTTTCGTTTTCTTCTGCATCGGGTATTAGTTTCTAGAGAAATACACAAACAAATTAAACTTAAAAGTTTAAAGAATAGAGAAGTGTACAATGTCATTGAACTCATTACATTAGTACATGTAATAGCATAGTAAACAACTGAATAAATAAAGTTCATTGATCCACATTAGACATTGCAGTCAACAAATTAAACTAGAGAATACAGAGGATGAGTCACGGACACATAGTTAAACTTACCTCATAATTACTCAGATACTCCAAGGGCAATTTAGTTGACATTTCTATGACAAGAATTCTATAACTATTCACTATTTTCCTAGCCTTCAGTAAGTAACGTCAAGCTTAGAACGACTTCTGGTATCAAACATAGGTAGATTGGTAAGACCAAGCATTAGTACTAAATACATTTCCCTTTTCAAACATTCAAAATAAAAAGCTATTACCAGATATATTTTCTTGAATAAACAACAAGTAAGGCCTGGCGCATACGGTCGATTTTTCGATCGGCCGATAAAAAAATCGGCCAAAAATAAATCGCCCTTGATTTATGTCCAGGCGCACACGTGGCGATTTTTTAGTCGGGAAATGGATTTTTTTGAGTGCGTTTAAGCTATCCAAAAATGGACTTTGTTGAATTAACCTGTGTTTGTGCTCTTCTAATTAGATCAAAGAAGAAAAGAAGACAACTTAAATATTGGGTTCATCCGATAGTAAGTCAGAGACTTTTAAATCGACAGTTTCATAAACTATACACTTTACGTGATGACAGTAAACAGTTCTTTAATTTCTATAGAATGTCTGTTTAAAGTTTCAGTTTTTATTATAACAGCTGTGGTCTTTTTTAGCAAAGAAAACAACACAACTCTCAATGAAGTTCTGACTCCTGTGGAGAACAACAAGCGACTGGCCGATTTTTTAGTCGACCGTGTGCGCGGACTGATAACAATCTGTACGTTACAGATTTTCGGGCGACAATCGCCTCGCCTTCGAATCTGTGACAAAACCCAGATTTTAAAATCGGCGCAATTCTCGATCGCCTGTGTGCGCGCTTCCATTCAAATACAAAATAATCGCTCGTGTGCGCCTAGCTTAAGGGATTACCATATGAGTAAGGTAAACACAATCTGGCCGAGTGGCGTATATTTTTTGCCATGTTACCCTAAACTAACATAATTAAAAAAATACTTTAAAAATCTGTTTATGATTCTATCGACTTAGGACTTAACAACCAAAACTCATAGCTTCTCAGAGAGGTTATGTTTTCAAGTATAACCACTCACCGCCATTAAAATACTAGGTATGCGGCCTCATGTCTGCCAATTGAGCGGAGTGAGCATCGATATAAACAAATAACCTTATTTACAAATACATTTTATAGATTACGACATAAAAACATGAGTTATTGATCAATAAACCTCATGATTTCAACCCATCGTTATAAGAAATTTTCTTAAGTCTTGCCATATCTTTTTTCTTTACTTACCATTTGCTTATCTTATTTATACTTTTGACTCTCTCAATAGAAAATGGCTCAGTAAGCAAGCCCTTGATTGTTCTGTTATGAAAGTAAACAATGCTGTTATGTGAATCTGTGAACTGAACTGAAACGGCTACTTAAAAAAACGATCATAGGTAAAGTAAATTACAGCACAGTTAAGTCACATAAATTTACTCAGTGACAGATATTTGACAGATTTGATTTGATTTAACAAAAACTAAGGGAAATATAATTTTACAAAGTAGCAAACTCTGTGGGTGTCTTGTAAAATATTGTCTTTTTAAATACAAAATATGCTTCAGCTGGTCCAAATAAAAATAAGATGTCTAGTCTTATTTCACTATCAAAAAGTCAATTAATAGTAATATGTACCAAAGTATCATATGACTTTTTATTTTCTTAAATTGTCACGTTCACTACCGACCATCAACTTATACTTTGACGCCAGACTTTTGAATTCACTGCCCTAACCTGGGGCCAGATTTCCCTTTTGGACCAAGCTTTATGATATAAACATACCCACAGACCGATCTTTTCTATTAGTTTTTCTGACCAATTAGAGTCTAAATATTTATTTACATTAAATTGCAATAAAAAATGCAAACAAGTATTTTAAAAAAGATTAATTTTTTCATCAACTATAGTTCAAATCGGTCCATCACTTACTTTGTTGTATATATCGATGTCTTTATCCATTAGTAGCATGTCGATTTTTATCCATGATATAACACACAAAAAATGTTATAAACTTACACCAACTCAATTGAAGAGGACTAGGTCAACTAACGCATCAAAACCTAAAGAAATTTGTGTACAAAAAATGCTGGGAGTTGAACGGAAAGAAATCACCCACATGGAAACCACAGCAACGGCATACTTAGGGGATAATCCATTAGACCTACCACTAAAAAAACCAAGAAAGTAACAATAAAATAAACCATAACAACAACAACAACAACAACAATAACAAGCCACAGTAATAACATAACAAGCCATAGTTGTATGGATGTTGGCGTGAACAATAGTTGGCGCCGGTCTGTGGCAAAAATCCTGACTTCAACCATAGTTGACACTGGTCTGTGGTAAAGGAATTTTTTTTAACATGTCGGTAGCGAATGTGTGAACCAAAAAGATTTCACATTAAGGAAAGAAATACTAAATTTTTCTAAAAAATAAATGGTTTTGAGGCAGACAGAGTTTTAACCAACCTCTTTGCCAGTCAGGATGTGGTTTTCTGGTAGAGTCCATGACGATGTGTTACTGTTTTCCTCAAAGAAGTAAACCCTCCCTTCAGTGTCCGTCGATGAGAACCACTGGAAAATCAAAAATAAAAATTGAAAAAAAACATCAATAATATATTACGTTGATTGCCCTTGGAAACCTCCAAGAGAGCCTGAAAACTACCATTAATTTGAGTCATCAAGTCAGACATCATTGTCACATAAACATTTGCATGGTATTACTATAAAAACAGGAGGCGTTGTTGATCTTACTAATATTATATAAATGTGAAAGTTTGTGTGTTTGTGTGTTTGTTTGTTTGTTTGTTTGTTTGTTTGTTTGTTTGTTTGTTTGTTTGTTTGTTTGTTTGTTTGTGTGTTTGAAGTTCAATCACGCATAAACCACTGGACGGATTGGGCTGAAATTTGGCATGATGATAGCTTACATTCCCGAATAACATATAGGCACATTCTTATCTCAAAAATCCTTTCGGGCTCCACCCCAGTGGCTCTGTAATTCCCCATGTTAACCTTATGAGTATTCATATTTAAAGGGAATTAAAGAATTTAGTCAGCTGTTTCAACTAAAAAAGTTGGTTCAATGATATGGAAAAGCATTAAAAAGTTATATGATTTACCAACAGGGTGCAGCACTATATTTTTTTGCATTTATGAAAAACAGCTAATTTGAACTAAGCAGCAACAAAAACTGTGATTCGCAATGAGAACTGTCAAAGTAGGATTGTTTACAGTTATGTTTATGTTTTTCATTTCATGAATAATTTGGGATATTTTGCAAATTGTTGATAATTTATTTTTCTCTATTGTTTAAATGAAGTGGTAGAACATTATGGCTATGGTAGATGTGTAATACTATAGAATACTGTAAATTTAAAAAAGCAAATTGTATCAAACTGTGTCCTCCCTTATTGCAAACGCAAAGCTTGAGTATAACTGCAATAAGCATTTTTTACTTATATTCCAACCCCGTACGAAGGACGGGTACTCTGCTAGTCTTCCTATAAATCTAACATAGCAATACCTTCTAGGGGGAGCAAGCTGGTCAAGTGGTAGAAGCTTCGCAGCCCAAGGCCCCAGGTACTAATCCCGCCAATGACTAATGGATTTTATCCATGTGATAATGCCATGACCCTCTAGGTCTAGCCTGAAGTAATGTGTAAAACAGTTCCTGGCTAGAGCCAAGTGTTCTCGGATGTAAAGGTGGGACAAAAAAAAACATTTAAAAAATGTGGTCATTAGATAGTAACAAGACCAGGATTTGAACAGTTCAGTTACAAAAAACATTAGAACATATAAATTTACGAAGATACTTTATATGGTTAAGCTTGCTTGCATTCTAAAATTGCAAATGTAGAGTTTGCAAACAGTTTTGAAAATGAAAAATTATTAAATACTCACTGATATTAAAATACAGCCTAGTTTATTTTTTTATTGTTGTGTTGCGTGTTGGCACTATTTTACAAATAAAAAAAGCTTCCTCCTAAATGCGTAGAAATGATTTGAGTTTATAAGTTCTAGAGGCAGCATATAACACAATATTTTTGCCAAGTAATTATTAAATAAAATGCAGACCATGTATGGGATATTGAATATTGTTTATATAACTTATATAATATGTAGTATCTATCTATGATTAGATTTTTCATCAGTAAAACTTGCATAGTTTTATTGCACGTACCTGTAGATTTTATTTTAATTTCATGTAAATTTAACATTGAAATAGTATCAACAACTTTAGGATCCGAATTCTTAGTTTTCTATTCCTTATAAAGCTCCTTTACGCGAGCATTTTGCTTTCATACTCATCCTTACTGTCGGAGTACACCGGAAAACTTGCTTTGTTAGAATTATGATTATTGTCTTTATCAGATGAGAGAAAAAATAATTAACTAAAGGCAAAATAAAATCAATAAATACCCAGCAAACCTGCAGACTAAGTGAATTTCAACTTGTCTGATTACATTTTTACTAAAATATTTCCATAAATAAGACATATTTACTCCCAATTTAAATAGTTTTGCTGCTACGGTAGCATATGATAAAATAAATGAATTTGTCAAATTTTATCAACATGTATCCATAAAAAAGTAAACTACAACAGTTTTCATTTTCTCCATAAGAATAACATGGGAATTTTAAATTACACTTTTTTTAAATTTTCTCCGTAACCGTTAGGCATACAACAGCGCTTTGATACATTAGCTACCAACTATACTCATCTCTCAGTTACAGAGGAGTGTGACAGTCGGTAGGGAACGTGTTAATGTACTAAATTATTTTTTTAAGCTCTACAAAATGGTATAGAAAGAAATTGCAATTTTTTTGGTTTTTATAAAACCCTCCATAAATCCTTGTTCCCATGGTCCGATCATGCTGGTTCGCGAACTCGTCTGAATAAATGTAGGTTCCCACATTTATACTGAATTTCATCAAAATCGGGTCATTTTTGCTCGAGTTATCGTGCTAACGGGCACATTTATATATATGAATTAGAAAGGATTGTGTTTTTGGCCTCTGGGGACCTCAAAACGAAAAATTAAATCGATCCCAGGTTCAGGTCTTACCATGAGACCTACGGTAATAGCTTATTCAAACTCAAGACTCAGGGCCGTCCCTAGGGTTGGCGGCGCCCGGAGCAAACGTGGTCGTGGCGCCCCCTCCCCCCCCCCAACAGTAATAGTCGCATTCGCATATTATAATACTATGTTAATACAAATAGCCGCTGTGTGGCGCCACAGAAAACATACTACTATAACCCAGAATCCCAACCGCATGGTAAAAAACGTCAAGTACTTTAAGAGAGCTTTGCCTGTCAATTCGTAGGCAGCGCCACCAGCATTGCGCCCTCAGCGCCCGGGGCAGCTTGCAAACACTCTATTGGGAAATTTCGGTCCATTTCAATTAGTGGCCTATTAGAATGGTGGTTTGATGGGTAAAATGGTTCATTTACTAATGAAAAATCTGCCAATAGTTTTGTTACAAATGTTAAATAGTTTTATATTGTATACTGTACTTGTGCATGAATAAAGATATTGAAAGTGAAAAAATAAATAATAAATAAAGAAATCGCTACTAAAATATTTAAAATTGTATTAAAACAAATTCTTAATAAACACAAAACTATTTTAATTATTTTTTTGTACAATCAATCTAGATTGTCTATAACAGTTTATTTTTACATCAAGCATCCCCATGACAAGGCCATAGCCTGAGTAATGACAAATAAAGGGAATTTTCTCCTGATGAGTCAATGGTTCAAATTAACTGCAAAACATCTCACAAGACTTTCTCTTGCTTGGCTCTTTTACACACCATATAAAAATAGAGATAAATTTAGTAAAGTTTTACCAAGTAATATTTTTTTTATCTAGAAAAGTAAACTTAGTAAACAAACTAATTATTACTCATTCAAATCGGAATTAATGTAAAACTGATAGTGGTGTTACCAGAATAGATAGAATTAAGTTTGGTAGTAGATAACTTGACAATACGCAAATACCAGAAAATTAATAACAGCTTGATAGATGTGCATTTGTTTCTCCAAAGCATTACTAATTGATTGGCAATTTTCTAAAAAAAACATTTTAATTATAATTTGTTTGGAAAGTTACTTTCGCAATGAACTCTTTAAAAACAATAAATCAGCAATATTTGGACCTTTGAGTTCTATAAATTAGTCAGCTATTTAACTAAGCCTATTTTTAAAATGTTTCCCCTGTTTTAAAATGCTGTAAAACATATTTATCTGGGGACAAACACACTGTAAGAATATATGTCAAAAGTAATCAACTTCTAAATTATCACTGCAGTCAGTGTCTTAAAAAGTTCTTAAACGCTCGTGCTTGTGCTACTGAAGTTTATGTTGGTGTCTGAAAATGGCACCATACAGTACCAAAATAATTTACCTCCTAAGTACTATGTCATCAATTGAAGAATCTAGAGGGAAGGTGTGTTTTATTTGAGTCCAACAAAGTAGCAAATGCCTAGTTTCCAGTACAACTTAGAAAAAATAAACCCAAGCTGTCTACTGTTGTGAGCCACAGCAAAGCCAATTGGACTTCTCATGTCAAATCCTCACCTGGCCAAGAGACAATACCTCAGTGGTCAGTGGTCTACCACACTAACAATACTGATAAGTCCTAATCCCAAGTGTCAGATATAGCTTAATGCTCTTTTTGTAAGTGAAGGTTTGATTATGTTACTCGCTAACCAAACCTCAGATAGGTTTGAGGTTCTAATGGTTAAATATGACTAAATCTTTTAATTTGAAGTTTAATTTCGGTTATTCATTTATTTAAGGGATTATAGCAAACATTTTCAGTAAAAAAAATTTATCATAACAATTTGGGATCCACACCCCCTTCTTACCCTCTATCCCATTAACTCTAAGCTGTCATGTTTTGCCATACCTGAGGTTCAGGTTCGTCCAAAGCACTCAACCACAAGTCTCTTCTCCACTCAGTAACATCACTCGACTCACTACTCGTCCTTCCTCTGTGGAACTTCTTGGCAAATGCCAAGATATCATAACTCTCCTCTTGTATCACAGGTAACCTCATTCTGCTGTTGAAGCTGCTGCTTTCGTCCAAATCAACACCATCTTCCACCAAACGGAAAGCTGGTTCTAAACATTCTTGGTGATTGTCGTACATTTCTTTAGATTCACCATTGTGCAATCCTTTGTTTGATTCTGTTAAACATTCCAGTTGTTCATTTAATTCAACAAAATTGAGCTCTTGGTTTGATTCTGTTGAACTATACTGCTCTTTGCTTGGCTCTTCTGAGATTTCTGAAATTCCTTGATCAAAGATTTCTCTAGAAGTATGATCAACATTTTTCATTACTTGTACGTCCCCTCTAACATATTTTCTGGAACAACCACGGTGTACGCTGGAAAATTTGTTCATAATTTTGGAATCAATATGACACATTCCTTCCAAATCTGAGCGTGAAATCAGGACATTTAAATGTTCATTCATATCAATCTTTGGACTCAAACACATATGATCATAATAACTTTTATCACAAATTGGACTTCTTTTATTGACATTAACAAGTGAGTCCAAATCTTC